TGTTTATAAAAATTCTAGCACAAATTTAAAAATTTCTAGTGAAAATTTAAATTTTTATTTGCCACATTTTTTGAATCTCATAATAAATTATATTAAAAATTACATAAACCAGTGGTATATAAAAATATATTACATCTCTACAATAATTATTGTTAGCTAGCCTAATTATGTTAGAGGAGAATGCTTCTGATGAAATTATGCTTGATGTTGAAGATGAGAAAATTTCCTCACAAAAGAAAGCAATCATATGGGATCAATATCAAATCCATAAAGACGGTGAAAAGGCTGCTTGCAATCATTGCAAGAGTATTATAAAATGTAAAGGCAAAACAACATCCCCTCTTATTAATCATTATAATAGGTTTCATTCACATCTTAGTAAAAAATAATAATAAAATTGACATTTTTTTAAAGTCTACACAAAATTCTTCAGAAAAAAATTAATTTTAAGGATAATTTATTAAAATTATTGATAAATAATAATATACCTTTTAAAATTATTAATTCAAATGATTTTAAAAATTTTATAAGTGATCTTGATTGTTCTGTAAAATCAATATGCTCCAATACTCTTAAATTGCACATGTATAATATATTTGCAGAAAAAGAACAGTTAATAAAGGAAAAATATATAAAAATAAAAGTCAGATTAATTTTTATCTCATTTGGACTAGCAACACAGGTTCCTTTTTTAGGGCTAACAGCCCATTTTATTGATGATAATTTTAAAATAAATAACATAATTTTGGATGTCAGTCGAATAAATGAAACACATTCAGATGAAAATATATTTAAAGCCTTTGTTAAAATAATTAAAAATTATAATTTAGAGAAATATAACTTTAGATAATGCAACTAATAATAAAACATTTATTGATACATTTTCTATAAAATATCCATTAATAAAAATAGGGCACATCCGATGCTTTTCCCATGTAATTAATTTAATATCCAAAAAAAATTTTAAAATTTTAGATCCTTCAATTCTAAAACTAAGAAACATTATTAGAATGATTCGTATGTGGTGGAAGGCAAATGCATATCGGATCCCCATACTCTCGAAAATGGTAAGGGATTATCTTTCTATACAAGGAACTTCAACTTTTTGTGAAAGGCTTTTCTCAGTTGGAACTAATTTATTGTCAAAAAACCGCATGTCAAATAAGGAAGAAAATAAAAGAAAAACTCTTTGCCTTAAAAATTGGCTTAAATTATAAATTAAATTAATAATATACATTTTAATTTTGTTTATAACTTGATTATATATTATTTATTATCAGATTATTGATTACATATTATTATAATTTTTTCTGTTTAAAATCAAATTTGTAATAAAAAAATTTGTCAATATATTTGAGTATGATTTATTTTATTAAAAAAATTAATTCGAATCTAATACAAATAGTAGATTTTATTATTCGTACGAATTCAAGTAAATTATTCGATTCGAATTCGTTTTTGAATAGGCCTACTATGCACAATATGGAAGATGGAGAAATGAAAGATAACTTGTGGCATGCCTATAAAATTTGAGGTATAGTATTAGAGTCAAAATGACAAAGAAATAATGGAGGCCATAAATGACATTAAAAAAGGTTAACTCATCAGAAATTAAACATACAGATTTATGGAAAACACATTTGCATATAAAAATTGTCTTTATAATGAGACCATACCTTTTAATATGAGGAAATCAGTTACATTCGCGACATTTAGGAGCACAGGAAACAAAATTGTAGGCCAGAAATTATATGTGGTAGCCTGGCATAAATGCAGACATAGACAATGAAATAAAAAATTACGACTCATGGAATATTTGGGCTGATAATCCAAAAAACATATAACATGTATGGGTTGCTACAAAGAAACCCTTCTTCAAAAAAATTGGCTGGTAATAGTCGAGCTTACAGCAAGTTTCCTAATATAAAATCGATGAAATCTATTACATCTGAAACAACCATTATAGAATTAATTCGAACAATAAGTTTGTCCGGGATACCCGAGCAAATTATGACTGAAAATGGTACAAACTTTACCAGCAAGTTATTTGAAAAGTTTTATAGTAATTTTGGCATAAAATACTTATTCACGTCAGCATACGCCCAACAATATAGAGAAAAAATGTGGATATTGCCTTGGAAAGTTTTTATTCAACTATCGAAACACGCTCAACAGGCATTCCGCCAATCAAACTCTTATTCCCACAACGACGAGAATTAGATGAGACCCACTGAAGCAACAAGATGCGAATGACAACATACTGGAAAAATTATATCGCTCCACAGAACTTTAAATGTTGGCAATAAAGTCTGGCATAAAACGTTGGAAGAAAACAGACGCAGTGTTGTTACCTAGAGAGAAAGGTATTTTTTTTATACAAAGTAGAGACGATAATGGCATTATAATAAGGCATCTTAATCTGATCAAGAGTAGATCATCAAATAATAATTTAGCAACTGAAGATAGTAATCAAACTCCGACTACGACCGAAGAATGTTGGGAAGAAAGTTAATCGCCGTAGCTTTTTTTAGAAGGGGGAGAGTTGATAACCACAAATTTCAAATACAACGCTGCACAATCCAAGACCTATTAGAGTCAAGACGTTGCCCAGACATTTTCAGAAGTGATGTATATATGTGATGCAGGATACTGGCATCACCTAGAGATGTACATGACATTTTCAATAAACATTTCTTTTTACGACCAAGGAGAACGTTATGAGGGGTTTCTCAGAGAGGAGATTGTTAAAATATTGATATATTTTGTTAAAATTAGTTCGTATATATGTATCTTAAAGATATACTTTCGTTTTATTATTTTAAAATTGTAACGCATTTATTAATACTTTAATATTTTGATATATATAGAGAACTACAGAAATACCATTTGCACGGCCCGGCCCTGTTTAAAAAATTTCTTTGGCCTGGCCCGTGTAGGGCTTAGGACCGGGTCTGCAGGTATATATAGTTTTAAAAAAATTGTTTAAAAATGAGGATTAAAAATATAAAAATAAAATTGATTTCAAAAAGGCATAGTTAAAAAATAAAATTTCTTATTGATGATTTAAAAAAATAAAATAAATTATCTCTAAGTAGAGTATCATGACATTTTTTATCATGGTACCAATATTTTCAGCATATACAATAAAGTTAAAGGGATGTATACCCGTCGCTCATCCATTTCATCTCAAAAAGGAGGTAGCTTCCGCTCCCGAGTTGTAGAAAATAGCGGCTCTCAGTATCTATGAAAAAATGTAACAGTGCTTTTTATTTAACACTGACATTTGAAATAAATATTAAAAATTAATATATCGATGATTTCTTTATAAAAATACCAATATTTCTAATTTATCAGAGGTTAGCCTGCAGCAATGGGGACTGTAAATATCACCATCTTCACTAAAAACAGATTCTGGATCGCACACTTTTATAAACAGCATGCGCAAAAAAATAACAATATGTCAAAATGTTTATTAATTATTATTATTAAAAAAATAAACATAAAATGGATTTCATTATTTATAAAAAATATGGGTTTTTGATATAACTTTTTTTAAAAATTTTTATAACATTTTATTTTGATATTTCACCCATTTTAAAATATCTTTCAGCCAATATTATAAAATTTTCCAATCTGATAAAAAAATGGCACTCGATAAAAAATATCGGTGCATCCCTATTAAAAACTATGATTAATTTAGACTTTCGTAGGTTGATAACGTGATTTTATGTTCTTCTGATAATGCTCCTTGAAGCATATAACATTTTTCCTTTGTAAATTGAGGAAAATTATCTCCTAATTGATTTATTATTCAATTCAGGCTTGTTTTTTTTTACATTTTGCAATTCTTTAGCTAACTGTATATAAGTGAATAAAATTGTCAGCAGTTATGTTATATCTACAATTTTTGTTAAGTTATAAGTTTCATAACAATTGTTGGAAGACTTTTACAAGCATCACGAAAATTATCTTTTCCTAAATACAGAATTCGATTGCAGATATATTTATTTTCGCTTGGACGAGAAGAAAATTTTTATTACATCAGGCTTATTTTCCATATAAATAAATTTACATCCTTTATATGGAAATAGTATTTTGTGATGAGCAAATATGATTTCATGCATTGTTCAATAAATTAATTCCATATTTTAAAAATAAGATAAAATTTATCAAAATTCTTTGCGCCTCTTTTGGTTTTATATCAAATAGTTATTTTATTTTTGTTAAAACGATTTTTGAACATTTTATAAATAATTAATTTCCCGTTATTTGCCTCTGCAATTTCCCCGAGACTTTAATTCCCAAGAATTTTACATCACTAGGAAGAACCATCATTTTAATTTTATCTAGATCATCCGACGGAAATATAAATAGTTGAAAATAAATAAATGTCACAATAGAAAACAAAATTAATTAAATAGAAACAAGTTAATAATTTAATGTATAATTTAATTTATTAAACAAAGATTATCATTTAAGATAGATAAACAACTCGTTTTTCAAATATTTGCTAACAAAAACAAGTGCTCAGCGGAGGAAGGCAAATTTGTATTGCAACAAATAAATATTTCTTTTATTATCTGATATCTATGCAGTAATTGATTTCAAATTATAAATTTTAAAGATACAGGATTACTTCAATTTCAATGCCAATACTAAAATTGTTATCTTATGCTCAAATAATAACTTTTTCAATGGAAAGAAAATAGAAAATGAAATTACGATCCCACAATGTGAAATTTTAAAATGAAGAAAACCTATTCCCTCTTTTTATTGTAATTTTTCCCATTTTAAACGTTTATTACATTTTTTTTATATCGTAAAAAAATACTTTATTCTTTAACGAAAAATAATGTTTAACCCTTTGTTACATTTCCAAAATAGGAGAATTATAATTACATTATGTGATATAACACTACTTGGTAACGCTATTTTTAACTTTTTGCCCAACCCTGCCTATTGCAATATATGAAAATAGAATATTTATATTTTCTAAATAGTTTACAGACCTTAGGGTTGCAGTACTAGGTAATCATTTTAGTGGAAAAACCACACTTCTTGGTGTTTTGACAAGAGGTGAGCTAGATGATGGAATGGGCAAAGCAAGATTAGGGTTATTTAGACATGCACATGAAATTGAGACTGGTCGTACTTCATGCATTAGTATAGATATCTTAGGGTTTGATAATTCCGGAAATGTAAAAATCGAAATGATTATATTAATGCTTTATACCATTTTTTTTCATATTATAGTTGATAAATTATGTGGGCCCACGCACAGTTGAAGAAATATATGAAACATCTACAAAACTAATTACCTTTCTTGACTTAGCAGGATTCCACAAATATCAGAAAACGACCATTTTTGGTTTAACAAATTATTCACCTGATTACGTTATGCTATTGATAGATTCAACTAAAGGACTAGGTTTCTAAATGTTTTAAATGTTTATCTTATGCTTTTCAGTTGGAACATCTAAGGAACATTTAGGATTAGCACTGGCCTTAAATTTGCCAATTTTCATTTTGATAACAAAAATCGATATTAAAGAGCAAGCTAACAGCGATGAATGTATTTATAACATGCCAGTTAATTTATTCGATTTATTAAATGCTTTAGACAACAATTTAAAAAATCTGACTGGAAGTACAAATAATTTAGTTGCAGTATTACAAGCTTTAAAAAGTGTTAATAAATTACCTTTTATGGTAAAAGATTTCAATCATGCTCGTATGGCAGCTAAAAATATGTCTCAAGGAAACGTTGTACCAGTACTTGAAATATCATGCATTACAGGGTGCAATCTAGCTCTTTTGAAAATATTTTTACAGTTATTACCACCATATATTTCAACGCAATCCAAGAATTGTTTATATCCATTTGATCCTAAGTCAATTTGCAAAAATAATATATATAGTATTGAACTTTTGGGGATACAAGGCGGAAAAAGTAAAAAAAAATATATGTAATAGTGCTTAGAGACCTAAAATCGATTTTTTTGGCCCAAGCCCACACATCTGGTAGGAATTTTTTGTAGATCAAGGCCCTGTTTCCTGTACAAAATTTAAAAAGCTTATGGAGGATATCTCAAACTTAAAATATTAATTTTATTCTCTATTTTAATGTTAGTTAAATTTAAATATTTGCAATAAACTTAATAATTTAAATCTATTTTATTTATCACAAAATATGATATCAAAATTAGTAAATATTACATACCTCCTGATTTTTTAAACCTTTTAGATTTATTTCGTTTATAATTGTGTAATTAATCATGCAAAAAGGAAGAATAAGAGAGAAACAATTAATATTTTATAAGCCATGGACTGGGCCTATATTTTATTGATCTACGCAGGAATAACTTTTTCAAGTTGAGTGTTAATTTTTTTGTGATGTACTATATGGTTAATTCCATATCAATTTATTAGACGATTCCAACCCTCTTGAATTTTAATGAAACTTGAAATATGCAGTGTACCATTTAAGAGTAATAATTTCCCCATAATTTAGATATTAATTTAACCAATGAGCAGAGGTAGTGTTACTCATTTTGAGCAGATTTTTAAAAACGGTCAATTCATTATTTTCGCCAGGAATATATTGCCTAAGCCTCGAGATTTCGCTAATAGATGTCTAGACTTTTGTGACATCTATAAGCAAAATTTTCAGGCGTGCGCAGCATTTTTTTATATAAAATACTGAGTTAGCCGTTTTTAATCAGATCAAATCGAGCCTTTTCACAACACTAAGCAAAGATATGAAAATAGTCCTAAATAGAAGATTTAATCCGGTATATGTCTGCCGTTAACCAAAACATAAAACCCTGCATCGGGTCTATTTTTTCAGTCCAACCCGATTCGAGAAAGATATTTGTCGGGCTGATCCGAGTTCATTTCAAATTTATTATTGGACTTTTAAAAGGAGTACGATGTTTTAACTAAATCAAAAAAAATATAGGCGTTAAAGGATAATGAACAATTTTATGGTTATTTCTGAAAACAATATTCATTAAAATAATAAATTTTTGTCAAGGTTCGATTTGATTCGAAATAAATTTTAATCAAGGAAGAAAATATCTGTCCGATTTGATCCGATCCGAATTAAGAAATTTATTTGTTTTAAATTTTTAAAGGCATTACATCACAAAATATATATTGATTATCTAGAATTGGAAAGCAAAAAAAGAAAAGTAGATCAAAACGAGATTAACGACAAATTGAAGTCTGAAAGATTAGTTGATGATTTATTTATGAAAATAGACGGTGACATAAATTCTATAAAAATTTGTCATAATGAGGAATTAGCTGAATTTTTAGTAATATATATTTTCTAGTGTTGTTAAAGTAACTAGTTATATTTTTCCAAAACAAATATAGTTATATTTGGAATGTCACACCAAAATAACGAGTTACCTTTTAAAATATGTAAATATTTGTATATATATATATATATATCTCTTTCATTATCTTTATATGTATGATGATTTTCCAAATTTATCATATATGAGGCATTTAAGCCCTCCTATGCAACGTTTGTCTAGTCTAAAAACTTTATTTTTATTGAAAAGCAAGCACACATTTTAGACACCAATTTCTTTGAAAAATAAATTTATAATTTGTTATTTATATATTTTTTCCCTGTAAGTAAATATGCTATGATATTTATTTCAGTGCTGATAAATATTACATTGTGGTATATAATGCAATTGTTATTTTTCATTCTTTCGGTCTCGTGCAAATATAAAACCACCTTTCGATCTTTATATCTTCTAAATGAGTTGATAATATGAAATGAAACCATCACGAAAATATATTAAAATAATTTCTTTTCCATATCTGTGTGGAGGAAGTATTTTACTTATATTTTTTGTTCATATTTAAAAATACTTTTATTTAAAAAATTTAATTGTAAAATATATTTATTCATTTTTTTATTTTTTAAAACTAACCAACCACTACCACTTTTCAACAATATTTATTTTTTAAATAATTCATTTATTTTACCAACTCATTTCACAATAATTTTAGATTGTTTTTATATATGTAAGGGTAAATTAATAAAAATATTTTTGATTTTATGGATATAAATGTGGATTTATAAGAATGGAGAAAGCCATTAGATAATATTAGAATTTTTTTTTATGTTTAAAATTTTGATATTTATATAAATGAATAAAATTGGCCATTTGATATTATTTTAGATCCAAGGAAAGGGGAAAAGTATTAGTTCATCATATAGTTGGCTTAATATTTGAAATTTAGGATTATGATTGATAGGGAAGAAGTGTATCTGAGATGAAGTTAAAGGGAAATAATAGTGAATATATTTTGGATGTAATAAAAAGAAAAAAAAACATTGGATTGACTTACTCCTTGTAACATTCCATCCAATCAACTACAATGATTCTGCGCGATCAACTACAATGATGCTGGATTACTTTTACAAGCTTAAGATAGAATGATCACGAAATGATGCAATGTATTAATCAAGCTATGACCGAGTCGGTCAAAATTAAATGGTAATCAACAGCTTAATGAAAATTATGTATGGTTAAGAAAAAAATGGAACTCCTGGAACATAAGAAAGAAAATTTAATGAAAATAAATATTAATAATTTTAATATTTCTTTTTACTTTGATTACATATATATGCTTAAATTGTATTTCTTTACTCAGTTTGATTTCTCAAGAAAGGTGGGCGTGTTGTATCTGTTAATATGTAATTGACAGATATAGACTTTTCAATATACTTTTTCAATAAAAAAATGATTATTGTTTTTAGATCATTTGATTTTTTTGTTTATGAAAAAGATTATAAAATGTTATGAAGAGAATACTATTATGATTGCGTTTGTTTTGACAATAAAGAAAATATACAATTGGGAATTAAAGATTATTATATAATGTTTGGATTATATATAAGTAATTCCATGACAAATCGACCAGCGATTCGACAGACCATCTCAAAAATGAATGAAACTTGGCATGTTAGTTATTTATGTTGTAATGTTAATAAAATCAAAATTTTAGAATGCTAGCTCAACCAGATCCAAAGATATACGCCTTCAAAGTCGAAAATCGCGAAGTGCATGATTTCATTAAATCTTGTTATTTTAAAAAATACTTAAGATAGAGTTACAAATTATATATCGTTTTATAGCCCTTAAAATTTTACGTTGGAAAATATAAAAAAAATTAAAATTTTTTAAGTGTTTTTTTATTTCCGGTAAAAATAAAAATTTAACATTGTTAGGAAGGGATTTTTTTTGGGTGTTAATATTCACTAAAAATGTTTATTACCTTTATATTAAACGATTTAATAAAAAATCTCGATAGCCATTTTTGTTTTTTGAATTTTATTTGAATTTTTATTAAAAAATGTAATATAGATGGCGTTATATTAAAATATTTTTATGATATATAATTTTTAATAAAATATGAATAGTATAGTGATTTAAATTAAAAAATCAATTGAGTATAACCAAGAATGATGTCCTGGGGCGATATGTAAGCAGGCAGCCCATACAGATATTATTTTATTGACGCTATATTGTAAAATAGACATATTTTAAAATTTTATATTCAAACTATTATAATTTCGCGCTTATTAATAGAAATTTATAAGGTAATAATTTGTAGATATATTCTTTCATTGTTGTGGATCTACTATCGTTATTATTTGAAATTCCTATCATCGATACCAATCAATCATCATATATTTCAAAACTTAAACATTTTTTACAACCAAATAAATTTATGATAATTTTTGATTTTTCTGAAAATTATGCATTTATAATCTAAGACACTGTTTAATAATGTTATTGCAGTAATGATAAAATTCTTGACTAATCAATTCAGCAAAAAGCCAAACAAATATATATTACTGCTCTGATGCATTAGCTGCACAATATAAAAACAGATATCATGAATCAGATTTTGGTGTAGCAGCTGAATGGCATTTTTCAGCTACATCCCATGGAAAAGGAATATGTGACGGCCTTGGCGGAACATCAAAAAGATAAGCAGCACGTTCAAGCCTTCATCGCATCAATTCTGGACACATTTTAACGCCAGTTGATTTATATCAATTGCAAAACAACATGCCATCAGTAAATTTTACATATATAACCAACAAACAATACAATTTACAAGATATTAAACTACTAGAAAGAATCAATTTGGTTCGTTCCATTCCAGGAACTTGGGAAATACATGCTGTATTTCTTTTGAGTTTAAGTAAACTTAAATCAGAAATATATTCATATGCAGAGGACTTTTAAATTAATAATATAGCCGATAATTTGTCTTTTGTTTGTCTTTTTGCCGATATTAAAGGATTCGTAACATTGTTTATGACGATTTTTGGTGGTTAGCCATAGTGTTAAAAAAGAATGAAATTACTGAGGAGATATTTATTTCCTTTTTACATTCCCATGGACCATCACCATCCTTCTTTTACCCCACAATTGCGGAAAAGATTTGATTACCCATTAATCAAATAATAACAGTAGATCCTATTACAGTGACAGGACATACCTACAAATTATCGTCTCAAGAAATTCTATTAATAAGCACAAAATGGGATAAGATTAAAACAAGAGGTATTTATTTTTATATTGTTTGTGTATAAAATTTTAAAATATGTTTACTTTACAATATAGCGTCCTAATAAAATCATATCTGTATGGGCTGCCTGCTTACATATCGCCCCGGGACATCATTCTTGGTTATACTCAATTGATTTTTTAATTTTAATCACAATACTATTCATATTTTTATTAAAAATTATAAATTATAAAAAAAATTAATATAACGCCATCTATGTTGCATTTTTTTATTTATATAAATAATAAAAATTTAAATAAAATTAAAAAAACAAAAATGGCTGTCGAGATTTTTTATTAAATCGTTTAATATAAAGGTAATAAACATTTTTAGTAAATATTAACACCCAAAACAAATCCCTTCCTAACAATGTTAATTTTTTATTTTTACCGGAAATGAGAAAACATTTGAAATTTTTTTTTATATTTTCCAACGTAAAATTTTAAGGGCTATAAAAAGATATATAATTTGTAACTCTATTTTAAGTAATTTTTAAAATAACAAGATTTAACGAAATCACGCACTTCGCGATTTTCGACTTTGAAGGCGTATATCTTTGGATCTGGTTGAGCTAGCACTCTAAAATTTTGATTTTATTAACATTTACAACATAAATAACTAACATGCCATGTTTCATTCATTTTTGAAATGGTCGGCCGAAAATCTCGTTTTTTTGGTCGATTTGACGCGGAATCACCGATATATAATAGTTATAATATATGGATTGGATGATAATCTAGACATCTAAAGAATCTTCTTTATACAACCCATTCATTGATTCCAAAGATGATTATGATTTATTAAATTGAAAGAGATAACTATGACAATTCGGAACAAGATGCGTAATCAATCTTTTACAACTCATAAAAACAATCTTGTCCAAAAAATACTATTTACAACCTGCATTAGAATTCGGCAAGATCTCGGGCCCAATATCATATTTGAAAACTGACCCATTATATCAATCAAATATATATAAAGAATTATTAATATGCCCTCCCCCCTTAAAAAAATTAAATATTATACAGAAATAATTTTTTTTTTATATATCTTCATATACTATTTGGAATAAAAACTATGGCGAAATACAAATATATTGGAATTTTAAACAAGAATTCTATGACAATTTCATTTTATTCATAAGAACGTAAAACCCTTTATTTGGCGTTAGGGCCACATCCATATAAATGACAATATCTTAGAACCATCAAGAAATTATGCAAAATTAGGCTATTAAATGTTAATATTCAGACAGGAACCTCCCGAAGGTGTATCTTCTTTATCATAAATAAGAACAAGATGACCGTGCAAATCATGCAACTTACCATTATGTTTAAACAAATAAGAAACTGTTTCGAAAATTTCCTTAAAGTATCAATTATGAATTTGAAACCACTAGATATATTTTAGATTAAAGAATTTTTTTATGTTTATACAAGAAAATTAATAGGGTTAAATTTCTATAATTTTTAAATTTTAAATAGCAAAATTATTATAATTAAAAAAAATTATAATCTATAAAGTAACTAGCTTTTAATTTTTTTTATGACCAGTGACTTTTTAATTATAACTAGTTACCTCTTTAAGGATGTAACTAGTCACTTTTAGCAACACTATTTTAAAAGTCCTATAAATATTAGGAGCTATTTTATTAAACATTTCTTGAATTTTTTTTAAATATCGTAATAAAGATAGATGAAGTATTTAGCGTAGACGGTGTTAAGGGAATAGTCGTTAGTGGTATTATGAGTAAAGGAATAGTACAAGAAGGTAAACTGTTTCTCGTAGGGCCTTTTAAATCCACCAACTCAAATGCATATCCTAGCAACAATAATGCTTTTAAAGAAGTTTTACTTGTTAGTATAAGGAGATGTCGAATGATCAAAAAAACGATAAAAGCCGGTGATTGTGGCACTTTGGCACTACAATTCATTAAGTATAATGAAAGTTATGAAAAAAGAGTGGATACAAAACCTAATCAGAATGCCCCGGTTACTAAGAATAATCTCGTTGACAATAACAGCATCATTGAAAAAGGCTTAAACGATTTCCAAATCTATGATTCGACATCTCATGATATTAATATAAAGAAGGTGATTGAATATTTTTTAAAAATTATATTTTTCGTTATTAACTTTTTTTAAATTATTCTAATATAATTTATAATATGAAGGGCATGGTTTTAGTTCATCCGGATATCAAGCCAATAGCCAGCTTCGAATTTGAAGCTCAAATTTGTATTTTATATCACGCTACCGCGATCACAATCGGTTTCCAGATATCCATATACGTTCGTAATATAAGGCAGACTGCAATTATTATATCTTTAGATAAAGTTATTAAAATCCAAAATAAAAATAAAATATTTATATTTTTTTAGGCTGAATTTTAACTTAATCGATTATACTAATAAAACTATTAATTCTTACAATTATAATCGTAATTTTTTTGGTAAAATATCTTAATTTTTTTTAAAAACACATAAAAAATAATATATTAAAAAGAACATTAAAAAATTTCATAACATTTAAAAAAAACTAAATAACTTTGCTTCTTTATGATAAGGTTTTAACTTTCTATTAATATTACATGAGCACTATTTAGAAAAATCAGTACGTTAGTTAAGTGTAAAAATCTATATTAAACAAACATCATATTTAAATGGCTAGTTTTATTTAATATAAAAGGGGGGGGGGGGCTAATAATATATTTTTGACTCTTAATTATGTTGATTTAGGACCATAAAATGTACAATACGAGAATTAAAACATAATATTAAAATATCTATATTTTCTCGCTCAAGGATTATCTCAAAACGGGACAGTCCGGTATTGCCGTATTTCGTTTTATTAGACATCCTGAATATCTGAAAATTGGGTCAAAACTAATTTTCAGGGAAGCATCTACTAGAGGTATTGGGCTTATAACGCGGATAATAACTCCCGGCGTATGATATTAAAGAAATAACTATAATATTAGTAAAATATGCTTCGTCATCATTTTGCAATTCTAGTCAAAATTTTTATTTTATTTTTTTTAATTGTAAATTATATTATTTAATATATTGTGATCGAAAATAGTTTTTTAAAATTTTTTTAATTGTAAATTATATTATTTAATATATTGTGATCGAAAATAGTTTTTTTAAAATAATATATAGATATGGATAACATAATATTTTGCTCTTATGGTATATTCTATACTGCGTGAAAATAAATATAGTAGTAGTTGTAATATTCTCTGCTATATAAAAACTTTAAATAATTATAAAAACAAAAAAAATTAATGGAAAATTTATTATTTAAATTATATGTAACCATCATAATGTTGCCTAAAAGGTTTGGAAATATATTTAAGAAACATAGCTTTGAAAAGGAAGGGTAAGCAAATATTACCTTCTTCATCAACGTTTAATGTCGGTTCTATTCATATACCCGATTATCAAAATCCACCATTTTATTAAAAATTATGATAATCATTGAATTTAATAATAGAATATGATATGCCTTCCCCCCCCCCTCCAAAAAATAAATAAATAAAGTATTAAGATACAAGATTTAATCTAAAATATAATATCTGTAATCAAGAAGTGATCGTTTTCGTATAATGTTATTTTTCCTTCAACTTTCCTATCTTTTTAATGCTATGTAGACTATACACCTATAATGTTAAATTTTCGAATTCGCATTAGGGCGAAATATGCAAACAGAAAAAAATATTATTTTTTTTGCATCAACCAGATTCGAACCCGGGCCTTCCCGACCCAATGGTCAGCCCTCTAAAATTTGTAAGATTTTTATATATAAATCTATAATTTTTTAAAGTTATCAATATTTATTTTTAGTCAACAGTTATTATTTTATTGGCTCTATTCTCTCATATTATTGGTTTAATTTTATTTCATTTTTATTGGATAAAGAACTTATGTAAAATATTATTGATGGGAATTTGCGTAATAAATAAAACAAACAATTATGTTTAAAATCATTTATATTTTTAATAAATCACCCATTTTGTTTACATTAAATTTTAAAATTGACAAATTTGATGCTACTAGAGGGTAGGGCTGGGAACCAATATTAAAAACCCAATATAAACAAAATATTGTATTGGTATTGGTATTGGGTCTAAAATATTGGTATTGGTTTAAACAATATTTTCTATTTCTTGTATTGGTATTGGTTTATATTGGTATTGGTTTAAATTCAAATTACTAATTAAAAGAATAGAAATAGTGATTATAAAACTCTTAATTTCTAGTTTTAAATAAACATGGAAAAAAAAATGAAGCATTACCATAAAAACAGGGCTAAGAACCAACTCCCAAAATTTTACTAAGTCCAAATTCTTTTTTCAAACTAATATATTTTTGAAATCAACAAACCAATCAAATAATAAACGTATATTTTGAAACTTTTTATTTAGCACAAAGAATATAGCAAAATGAATACACTAAAAATGTAACATAATTTTCTATTTATATAAAATATAGTGCAAAAGATTGTAATATAAAGAAAAAATTTTATGTATTTAAGAAGAATCCTTCATGCGCATCCAACTTTTTAAGCACAGGCAAGCTTGGATAGTATGCTCATCTAGTGAACAACGTTGATCTGTTATAATATACCTTCCTTCTGAAAAAGCCCTTTCAGAGCTAGATGAAGAAGCTGGAATTGCAAGATAATCTCTGGCAATTTTTGATAATATTGGATATCTATTTTTATTTAATTTCCACCAGTCTAATGGATTTGTATCATTACAAATTGTGGCTTCATCCACATATTTGCTTATTTCTAAGTTATTATTGTTGTGACTAGGTTTAACCTGATATATTTTGTCAAAAAAGGATAATTTTTTGTTATTTTGTGTTTCATTTGTAGGTTCAGCTGAATTGTAATTATTTGTTTTATAAATATTATATTCCAATAAGAGTTTCTACACTATTATGCTTTAATAAGTGACTTGATAGTTTAAACCTTGGGTCAATCATTGTTGAAATAATATATAGGTGTTTATTAAAATTATAGTATTTATTAAGTTTTGTCAAGGCAGCTAATGAAGCTGTCTTTAAAATAGCATTAGGATTATTATTATAACTCAACGTGCTCAAAAATACTGGAATATAAAGGAATGATTGTTGAAACTGATGGAGTATTAGCACATGAGGCCCTCTCTGTAGCAAAATTAAATGGTTCTAAAAATTCTCGGTATATTTCAATATTATTCCAAGCTAAGGCACTAATATAATATTCTTCATTAGTATTTTGTTAATGATTGGTATATATTGTGAGATAAGGTTTGAGAAATATAGCCCTTTCGAGCATTTGGTACGTTGAATTCCAACGTGTTGGTATATCCAAAATAGGGTGAGGAAATTTTAAATTTGGATTTTTTTCAAGATATATTTTTTCAAGTTTATTAAATTTAGATATAGAAAGTTTAAAAATTTTTTAAAAATTTCTTATTTTTTTTAAAGTTGGATTTAGAGGTTCCAATGCAGCCATGATAGACAAATGGATAATATGGCAAAAACATTTGCACACATTATCAAAATTGTCTTTTAGTTTTAAAATTTTTAAAAATGCTAAATTATTACTAGCATTATCTAATGTAATACAAAAAAATCAATTTCAAATTTTACTTTTAATACAGAATTAAAAATATTATAAATATTAATAGCATTATGTGCTGATTTAAAAAGGAATAAAATCTAAAAATGATTAATTAATTTAAAATCAGTATCAATATAATGAATGGTTATGCCCATAAAGGGTATTTTATTTGGAGAGGACCAAATGTCCATTGTTAAAGAAAATTTAGAAGTAATTTTAGAAAGTACAGATTTTAAATTGATAAAAGAACTATGATAATGTTTCATAATTTCTTTTTTAAGTGTTTTTCTAGAAATTAATGTTAATGAGGGGTTGCAAAAGCTTATTAAATTTTTAAATGACTCATTTTCAACCATTGAAAAGGCTAAATTATTTTGAATAAAAAAGTCCATAATTAAATTATTTAAATTAGCTTTATTATTTACATTATTAATTAAAAATGATTTTATGGTGTTAATTTTTTTACTGCATTATTTATTTGTTCACATTTCTTATATAAAGTTGGGTGGATGGATTAAGATGTGTCCATAATCCTGAGGTTCCAAAATTGGGAATAGATAATTTTTTTTTACATTTATTACAAATAGCCTTTTTTTTGTTATCACAACTAGTATAAAATTCCCAGATTTTTGCTGTATTTCGTCTTTTATTAGATATCGTTGATTCTTCTTGTTCATTATCGATATTATTATTAGTATCAACATCATTATCTATATTTATTAACTCGATTTGGTTTTCATTCATTATAATATCCTAAATGAATAAATAGATAAAATTGATAGATATCATATAGAAAACTTACTTCCATAATAAAAATAAACTATATTTATAAATAACACCAATATTGATATCACAGGAATATTTGGAAGAAATAACAGATGTAATATGTTTATGAATGAAAGTAAAAAATACCACGATATAATTATCCACGATATAATTATCCACGATATAATTATCCACGATATAATTATCCACGATATAATTATCCACGATAAAACCAAATAATTTTATGTATTTATCTATTTTAAATTTTTAATATTGGTATTGGTATTGGTATTGGTTAAAATTGTATTTAAACAATATTTCAAAACCAATATATTTAGGTAATTGGTATTGGTATTGGTTGTAAAAACAATACCAATATATAATTATATATTGGTTTATATTGGTATTGGTATTGTAAACCAATATTATATTGGTATTGGTCCCACCCCTACTAGAGGGTAGCTGTGGGATCGGTAGTTTTAATGAAATCGGTTCAGAGTTTTTCTTTTTTTTATAACTTTGGTTAAGAAGTTCTTCCTTTTTTTTTAAATTGGGTTTTTTCTTAATTTATTACTTATACCTTAAATATTACGTTATATTAAATTTCTTTAAAAACCAAATTTCTATTTTCAAAAACAAAATTGGTTAAATATTTTTTTTTACAAAAGCCGAAAAATTTTCAATATATTAAAAAAAAACTAATATTAATAATTATTTTTTTATAATGCTATATATATACTTCCAATTATGACAATATAAATTATTATTATTTATTATTTTCCACAAATGCTGATTTAAAAATAAACAACTATTTTTAAAAAAAAAATAAACCAAAAAAAATGACTATTTTATTTAACAAAAATACATTAAAAATCTAAATTACATTCGCTGCCTACAGCAGCTCCACCCTTCAAAAGTAATTCTCTTCCTCCCTTTCCGCCTCCGACAGAATATAATCCAAGAAATCTCCAAATGTTCCTGGCCACTCTGCGCCGTTTGCAGCGTCATCCAGCATTCCAAGCTCCTCGGAACCCATTGTCCAGTCATCATCCAATACATTCCATCCCTCGTGTCCTCTTAGGCGCTCCTCCGGTAGTAACCCTCCCTCTGCCAATTCCCTTAATGCCTCTGTCTCATTTACTTCCTCTTGTTCTCACTCCAATGGACCCTCAGGCTCGCTCCTTTTGGATCAATTTCCGCCACTCCTCCCGCACCTATGCTGCATTCCACCGTCGCTTGAGATCCGGGTTCCCCCAATTCCGCCGCATTCCAATCCTCGCTCCGAACGCCAGGATTCGGGTACTCCCATCATCATTCGCTCCATCATTCCAATATCTATCTGCCCTCGCCTTGGATACGACCGACGAACGGAGAAATTGTGTTTTCGAAGATTTTGAAGTAGATTTCATAGTAACGCCTCGGCAGACGACGTTGCCTGGATTCTCACCGAGGAGAGCGTTAGGACCACATTGGCTGGGAGAATTAAGAAATGTGCGGAGAATTGAATTAGATGATCCTAGAGGGGCTTGCAGAGATGGGCGCCAGTGCTACGGATGTGGGGAGTGGGGGCATATTCGTCGGTCGTGTCCAAGGCGGGGGCAGACATATATTGGAATAATGATGGGAGTAACAGAATCCTGGCGTTCGGAGCGAGGAGGGAAGGATTTGAATGCGGCGGAATTGGGGGAACCCGGATCTCAAGCGACGGTGGAATGCAGCTAGGTGCGGGAGGAGTGGCGGAAATTGATCAAGAAAGGAACGAGCCTGATGATCCATTGGAGCGAGAACAAGAGGAAATAAGTGAGACAGAGGCATTAAGGGAATTGGCAAAGGGAGGGTTACTACCGGAGGAGCGCCTAAGAGGACAGGAGGGATGGAATGTATTGGATGAAGACTGGACAATGGATTCCGAGGAGCTCGGAACGCTGGATGACGCGGCAAACGGCGCAGAGTGGCCAGGAACATTTGGAGATTTGGATTATATTTTGTCGGAGGGAGAAAGGGAGGAAGAGAATTACTTTTGAAGGGTGGAGCTGCTGTAGACAGTGACTATAATATGGATTTTTAATGTATTTTTGTTATATAAAATAGTCATCCTTCTTGGTTTGTTATTTTTTTTTAAAATATAGTTTATTTTTAAATCAGCATTTGTGAAAAATAATAATAATTTATATTGTCATAATTGGAAGTATATAGCATTATAAAAAAATAATAATTATTATTAGTATTCGTTTTGTTTTTTTTAATATATTGAAAATTTTTCGGCTTTTGTAAAAAAAAAATATTTAAACAATTTTGTTTTTGTTTTCGAAAATAGAAATAAAGAAATTTAATATTGCGTAATATTTAAGGTATAAGAAAAAACCGATTTAAAAAAAAGGAAGAACTTCTTAACCAAAGTTATAAAAAAAAGGAGAATAAAAACTCACCGATTTCATTAAAACTACCGATCCCACATCTACCTACTAGTAGCGCCAAATTTGTCAGATATATATATAATTCCAATTATAACAATATAAATTATTATTATTTTCCACAAATGCTTATTTAAAAATAAACTATATTTAAAAAATAAAATAACTAACAAAAAAAAATGACTATTTTATATAACAAAAATACATTCACTGCCCACAGCAAAAATAATGGCCGTTTACCTTAAAAATACAGATCAACTAAGCTACTGCACATAAGAAAGTAAGAATATATTTTACTAACTATGATTTTTAAATTTAAATTTAGCAAATGGATCAACTAAAAAAATACAATTATAGAAGAATCGATATCATCAACATAGAAAATAATAAAAAAATATTGACATAATAAAGTAAAAGTTAAGAAACAATAAAAAAATGATTATTGTTACCTTAATTTTTTTTAGCTCAAATAAAAAAAGAATGATGCTACTAAACCTTACCTGTCATTATTGCAGGAAAAAAAGAACAAGTTAATAAGATAAATTGTTATATTATTTTTTTAGCAACAAATAAAAAAGAAGAAGATATTACCAAACCTTACATAAGTCAAACAATGTCTTAATTTAATATTTAGAATAATTAACCTTATGAAAAAAATATTTATCTTTACATAATATTGACTAATAAATCATTTATTATTTGGAGGGATGGTGGTTTGTTTAAATTTCTGTAAATGTATACTGTTCATATTCTTCACATAATATTAGTTAAAATTTAATTAGGCTGTTGTAGATATTTTATTTTTAATATTCTATAGGTGTTTCTCATTCAATTTTTGACTTCTAATCACCGTCCATAACCATCATTTCAATTCATCGACCATATTAGTCTACGGGATAGTAACAGCTTGTAGTAAAAATCTCGCCTTTAAAACCGCGTCTTTTCTTTCTAGAGCCTTCAGTCTCATTTTACCTCAAATAAATACTCTTATTCCACATTTAACGATATGATATTCCGCTTATATCAATATGATAATCCGCATTTACCTAAACACTTTTCTGGAATTTTGTTCAGCGGTCTATTTCTTTAATTTATCCTTTTAATATTTTCAAAAAGGTTAAAACAAATCCCTCCTATAAATGGAGATCAACTTTACAGTCCACTCCATCCTAGTTCATTTGTTATTTTTATTTCGCTATATTTATTCTTTCAAATATTTCACCATATTGATTCTTTCAAATATTTCACCATATTGATTCTTTCAAATATTTCACCATATTGATTCTTTCATATATTTCTTACATAATATATCACAACTATTAGTTTTTCCTTAAATTGTATTAATCCCAATGACATATAATAATACCTAGACTGACAATTCATTCCTAAAAGCAGGGATTCGAACCGAACCCGAACCCGGAGAAGTGAACCCGGGTTTTTAGAAAAAAACTCTGAACCCGAACCGAACCTGAACCCCATTTATAAAATTTCCAAAACCCCGAACCGAACCCAAGAATTTTATTTGAACCCGGGTTCAATCGGGTTCAGTGTATTATTTAAAATCATATATTAATATATGTAAATACAAATATTATATTTTCAAATTTCCAATTAAATGAAGTCTTAATAAATTTTAAACAACTTAATTCATTTATACCATTTTTAAATTTATTCTCGATTCCTATTGGAGTGTTAAAAAATTTTAAACAATTGAATTAATTTACGCCCATTTATTTTTAAATTTTTATCTTATTATTCTTAAAGATTATTAATTAGAAGAAAATGGTTAACAAATCAAAGTAAAAATTATTATATTGTTAATTTAAAAAATTCTAAACATCTAACTTAAAAATTGTTAAATGTAGGGCAGTTTTTGTGAACTTATTAAAATGATTTTAAAATTTATATATGGTAATCATTTATTTTTGGTTCAGTTTAATTTTTACAAGATGTTAATGAAGTGCATATTATAAATGAAATTAAATTTATAAATATCTCTTTTTTAATTCTGAAATCATTGCTATTTAAAAAAATTGTTCTCTTTTTATAGATTTAAGATTAAAGATAAAGTCATATTTGATAAGCATTTTACCCTTAATACAATATAAAAAAAATCAATATGTTCATATTGCAAAGTAAAAATGTCTGGTAATCACTTGTCAAATTTAGAAAGACACCTGGAAAGAAATCACAACAATGAATATTTAAATTATTTAAATGAAAAAACCAAATATCAGGAATTGTTATTGGCAAAAAAACCTAAAATTAATATAGAAACCTTTTTTCCAAAAAAGCATATAAGTATAAATATATCATCTAATGATTTGATGAGTTCTATACTAGAACTTGTTACTGTAAATGGCCGGCCTTTATCAATTATTGAAGATTCGGGATTTCAAAGAATTATAAATCCACTCCTTGCTGGGCTCAATTTAGTTATAAACAAAGATAATTTATCCAGAACTATTAATAAAACAGCCCAATCAATTAGAGACAAAATATCGAGAGAGGTAGAAGGAAAATTAATAAGTTTAAAAGTTGATGCAGTTCAACGACTAGATAGGTCAATTCTTGGTGTAAATATTCAATTTATATCAAAGTCCATTATAAATTTGAGGACTCTTGGAATTGTAGAGCTGAAAGAGAGATGTACAGAAGAATATATAAAAGAGAATATATTTAAAACTTTACTAAAATTTAAAATTAATATTCAACAAATATACACAATTACTTCTGATAATGGTTGTAATTTTTTAAGAGCTATAAAGCTCCTGCAATCTGAAACTGATTATGATATAAGGAGTGAATCAGCAGATGAGGAAAATATGGATGTAAATGTATATAAATATGATATTGGTGATATACAAAATACTTTTTTATCAACTATTATATCCTATCCGATTTATAGTGTACGGTGTGCAGCTCACACACTTCAGCTGGCACTTCATGATGCTATAAAATTATCACCTATTGTGGAAACCATTGCAAAAGCTAGGAGCCTAAATTTAAAATTAAGACATCCCACTTACCAAAAGTTATTAAAAAATATGAAACTCCCTAAGCCTGTGTTAGATTGCCACAGATGGCATTCAACCCATGATATGTTAGAAAGGCTGATTTTACTAAAACCCAATATCGAAGATTTTTTTACAGAGCAATCTGATTATTTATTGACTGAAGATTGGAAAGAGATAATAACGATTGTTGAAATTTTAAAACCGCTAAAAATCGCAACCAAACAATTCCAATCTGAACAGTTAACACTGACAGATTTTTATGCAGCATGGTTAAGATGCTGCATCGAACTGGAAAAAATATCCAAACCATTTTGCTCAATTACTATATTCTTGTCTTAAGAACAGAGAAGAAAGGTTTATAAAGAACGAAATTCTCTTAGCTGCCATATACCTGGACCCAAGATACAAGGTTAATTAAAAGCTTAGTAAATTAATTATTTTAGATTTATATTAAAATTGTTATTTTATGAAATATTTAAATATAAACAATATAAATCCTTAAATATTACAGGTATTACTTAGTGATGATGATAAGATTTGTGCGAAAAAACATCTTGTCAATTTATGGAGACGAATTAAAAGCTTAACAACGCCGATTTTATCTGATGATATTAGTTCCGATGAAGTTATTGAACAAGAAGATGATTTAGAGAAATTGATACAACTTAAAGAAAGGCAGGAGAAAATATTTAAAAGAGGGCCAACGATTGCTGAGAAAAGTATTGGAACAATAATTACTGGATTTAGCGATTATAAAAGATTAGATAAGAAGGAAAATATTTTGCATTTTTGGGAGTCTGCTAAGCTGGAACACCCTGAATTATATATTTTATCTAAAATCTTATTTGCTGTTCCTGCAACCCAAGTTAATTTTTCATATTTTCACATATAAATACATTTAACATAGGTTAGCGTTGAAAGATCTTTTTCACATTTGAAATTCATTCTTTCACCACATAGATCGAGGATGAGTGAACAACTCTTGGAAGATATTATGCTAATACGTCTAAATAAAATTTTTAAAATTGATACATGACTATATGCTTTGTATTTTTAACTATATTTGCCTATAAATAAAATAAAAAATTTATTTTTTATATCAAATTTATGTCTAATTTTTTATTATGATTTAAATATATAATTTTTTTTATCAACTCAAAAATTCTTGAACCCGAACCGAACCCGAACCAAACCCGGGTTCAAAAATATTTCCCTAAACCGAACCCGAACCGAACCCACCTTTTTTTTTATACCCCGAACCGAACCCGAACCGAACCCTGGCAAAAATTTTGTCGGGTTCGCATCCCTGCCTAAAAGTATATATCAATGCAAATCAGTTGGAGACGCCATTAACGCCATGTTGATTACATTCATGGTAAAATTTGTAATATAAAAAATATGTAAAACTAAGGCAATGACTTCAAAACAATTATTCAAAAGCCATTCTTATATTTCGAAATATTCTGGATATTTATGAATTTTTTATTATAAATCTTACATATTTTGATAAAAATTATATATTATCTAATAAAGTTGCTTTTAGTTATTTGTTTTTATGATACTTTGCTACCCTCTTTAATATTATGAACTTTATAAGATAATAAAACTAAATCATCAAGAATTTTGATTCATCATGATTAAATTACTAAAGACCATCTAGCTTTAACATCCAAACTTAAATTTTTATAGATAAAATGTTCTCTCAATAAAATAAAATTTTGTTGTCTTCTATCTTATAGTAGTACTATTATTTTGCATACATAAAATAAATGCTTATCTTCAGATATATTCTTAATAATATAACTATTTGTTTATTTTGTGCATATTAGGTGGGATGATAAAATACGCCCCCCCCCCCCGAAAACTACGCGCCCTCTGTCAAAGAAGCTTAATTTAAATTATAATATAGAATCGTATTTAGCTTCATAAGATGAGTTTAAAAATGTTTTTATTGAAAAAAATGATAACATAGTAAAACTTTTAAAAAATTATTTTTTTACATGACTAAAATATACGCCCCCTATTAAAGAAGCTTAATTTATAAAAAATAACCACAGAATCATATAGAGCTTATTAAATGGTTAAAAATGTTAATATTATATTTAATTTTTTTTTTAACTTAGTGGTCTTTTAAAAAAACACTTCTTTTTTTTACTAAACAACGCGCCCCCTTTCAAACAAGCTTGAGTCATAAAAAAATAAAAGCATAATCGTATTAAGCTCATTAAAAGGAATCAAAAAATGCTAATATTAAGATTATAACTTAGTTAGATTTTGAAAAAACACTTTTTTTCAATTTTTTTTGACTAAACTACGCGCCCCCTAAGCACCCACGGTAAATATACATTATTTTTTTAAAGAATGAATACAGAATCATGTTTAGCTTTTCAAGGAGATTCATAAAATAGTATTATTCATTTTTTTTTATAATTTTAATTTTCGAAAATTTTTTTTTTGACTAAACTACGCGCCCCCGGTGAATATGCATTATTTTTTAAAAAATAAAAGTATAATCATATTAAGTTCATTGAAAGGAGTTAGAAAATGTTAATATTAAGTTTATAACTTATTGGGATTTTGAAAAAACACCTTTTTTCAATTTTTTTTCACTACTCGGTAAATATACATTATTTTTAAAAAAATGAATACAGAATCATGTTTAGCTTTTCAAGGAGATTCAGAAAATGTTACTATTCATAAAACATTTTTACTTTTATTACGATATCCTATTCCTCTGTATAATCTTATCTCTTGGTATTTATTTTCCCAATTAGTTTTATATTATTTATTATTTTTATTATGTTTTTATCATTACTTGTTTGTAATATCTATGTTTATTATTAATAATAAATATCAATATTAAAAATACAGTCACAATATAAATCTAATAATATTTTATAAGATATAATAAATATTCCTAACAAAATATAATATCAACATTTAAAAATATATGGATATAATATAAGTCTAATAATATTACAATTAAATAAATTAATCTTATTTCAGTCCTCACAATACACAAATTTATTTATTGGCCATTAAATAAAATTGTTTTGTAGATTTTCTATTCAATTAAATGTGCGAATAACGTTCAATTATTAATGTTATAAGAATTTGATAATTGGTGAATAGGGCTGATTAAGCATAATTTCACAAAAATATTTGTTTTTTTCTTTAGAAGAAATAAATGATGCAATCCTTTTGAAAATAATTTTTTTTTATTAACAATGATTCTTTAAAAACACGGAATGCACTTTCAAAAAGTTGGTATAATATTAATATACTTTTAGAAGGAATTATTAACCCCTGATTGTTTTTTGTTTTTATCAAATTATAAGCATGTGATTTTGATTATTTATCATAGCTGCAGATATAACATATTACTTTTTTTCCAGTCTATATAGGTGAGTGAACCATGTATTTATTAAAATATTTACTTATACTAAGAATTTAAATATTTGGTAGTAAGACAAATTATCATTGTGGTAATCAACATGGTGTAATGGCGTCTCCAGCTGATTTTAATTGATACATGCTTAAAAATTCATTTTAATGAATGAATTGTCAGTCTAGATAATATATGTCATTGATTAATCCTTTAAAATATCAACCTCCTTTGGAAATGTTTCCATTGCAAAATTAACGGATTTCTCAATTTACTAGTCAGTTTATTCTTTTTTTACATATTTCTAATCTCCTGAAAATTTTTCATAACTACCGCGTTTTCCATGATTTTACCCTCCCCTCATATCATTGTTTTATAATTAATTTTTTATATTCTAGCATTCTTCCGGCTTTAATTCTGTTGGACATTTGTTTTTAACTAAATCCTCTTCCAAATCATTATGTGTAATATTATCTTTTATAACATAAATTTTTTTATTATTATTAAGTTTATAATCAAGATAATCTCCTGCTTATTTGAAATCTCATACCCTATAGATATGATAATATAATATAAATTTCAAATTTGATATTCTTTTTCCCGTAATTTATACTTGTATTTTCAAATTTATGATTTTGCTATTGCTTTTATCATTCACCCTTCCATATGACACAACAAAATTATCTCGATTTTATTTACAAGCCACCCAACCATAGGATTCAACAGAATTATTTTCATTATTATTTTTACAATTCACTCTTCTAATTCTATTCTTATTTCTATACCGGGATTTTATTTGAAAAATAATAATTATGTCTTTTCGCTATCATAAAGCCAATACTGATCTTAGCAACATGTCCAACCGTTCTATATTAAAAGCACCTCATTAAATCATTACAATTTTCCATAACATTTGCCAACGCTTGTTTTTCCGCTATTAACACTTTTACTTGAAAGTTAATTGGTTCATTTATTTTTAGTCATTATTAATTCGCATTTTTAATTATAATGGTATACCCTTCATAAATTTTTAAAGACTAACTTAAATTATTTTAGCTCTACTACCAACTATCAAAATATTGTGAATATCAATTAAAAACCCTCTCAATTACAATGAATGAATCATTATTTGGCATGAATGTGAGTTTGCTGAGAATATCTAGGATAACAGAAAATTTTATTTGGAAAATAATGTCTATAATTGTTTGCAAAATATAGATCTGGTCGATAATCAGCAATATTATTGTATTATAATAGGTCTATAATAAAAGTATTAATTTTTACAGCAATATATTTGCCCTATTTCATCTAAAAATTTAATAGATAACACCTAATAACCTCTTCCCTCCTTAAAAAATGAATGCATTCTGTTACTAGTCCCTTCCCCGTTTATGTAGATGATGTTATCATCCAATGAATTTTCCAAAATTAAATTGAATATTATATGATCGATGATCGCCTAATTTTTTTGTTCATTCTATAGATTTATTGTCGATTTACCGATTTTATATAATAATTTATGCATTTTTTTCCATTTTTATTATAGTTCCATTTTCATTCTATCGGATTTTATTTTTATCATAATTTCTATACTTTTCATTTTTGCTTTTCCATATTCCATTTTTACTTTGACTTTTTCTCATCGCCACTTTAGCATATGGAGTAATAGATAAAATATATTGACTTCCTTTTATTAGGCGATATTTATAATTAGATTAATGTTTCACAAAAGTTATAAAAAATTAATTAAAATAGAACATTCTATTCTATTTAATAAATTGTATCTGTACTGTAACAACTTATAGATTGGCGATTCATAAATTAAATATATTTAAAAATACAAATTTTTATGGTTTACGCATATATTAAATGACATTAATATGTATTAATATAATGATAGATTAAACAATTAGTTGAAGTGAAAACCACAAAATTGTGATACACTCTATGAATGTACACTTCTAATTAATAAGTCACATCACCATTATTTATTACTTTAAAAAATTATACTAATTCGAATAATTCGTTTTATTCAAATTTAAATAATTATTTTCTATTCAATTAGGATTATTCGATGCAAAATAATACTAAATTCGTTTTTAAATAGGCCTATGCCCGTCGTAATGTATTAAATACCTACGTTTTACTGATTTAACCTAAACCTTAATTATGGTTCGGTTTGATCATATGTGAGAATATGTTATTAAACAGAGTGAGATGTTTGTATCTTTTAAAGAAACCTGAATACTTATTAAATATTAAAAATAATATTAACCTATCATCTGCTTCCGTTTTATATGGATCTAATAAAATAGAATTATTTATAAATGATCAAAGAGTGTTGGCTGAACCAGGCATGACTATTTTACAAGTTAAACAACATTGTCAGTTTTATAAATATGAAAATATTTATTTCAGAGTTAAATAAATTTTGAAAATTTTTTTTGCCCAATATTTTGAGAAAAATATTTTTGAAAATCACAAAATTGAAGATTATTTTTAAAGGTGAAGATATATTTTTAAAATATTTGTGACTTCATTATATGATTTTGAATCCCTAAAAATCCAAAAGATTTACTTATAAAAGATTTTATCTAAAAACGATGGGCCAAGATAAAGAGTCAATTTTTTTAATTTTATCAAAGATTTTTTTAATTTCAAGATATTTTCAAACTGATTATTTTTTAGCATAATATTTTATTTATAAATAGGCATGTTCTCTTATTGATATTGAAATCCCTAGATATTGTTTTCATGAGAGATTAAGTATAGCAGGAAACTGTAGGATGTGCTTAGTTGAGGTTGAAAAATCAATCAAACCAGTTGCCTCCTGTGCTATGCCAGTGATGAAAGGCATGCGAGTTAAAACAGATAAAAGATCTACAATAACCCAAAAAGCTCGTGAGGGTGTTACAGAATTTTTATTAGTCAACCATCCTTTAGATTGCCCTATTTGTGATCAAGCAGGTGAATGTGATTTGCAAGATCAGGTTATATAGTCTTTTATTTTAATATATTTTTATTTTTCAGAAAGCTTTTTAATGTTATATGAAATTTATATTAAATCTCATCAATGATCCATTTAAACAAAGCTTACCAATAAAATGTATTGAACATTGTGATTGGATTAATATATATATATTTGGTTAATAATTGTTAAATACATAATAATAAATGGCTGTTATTTGTTCCTCCAGTGGTTTATTTGATATTAATATTTAAAAATGTTTTTTTGTCCATTATAATAATAATATGGCAGTATCTTAAGCAGTGGGTAGCCAGGTTATCTGGGGGGGGGGGGGGGTTACAATTTTTTTTTGGAGCTTTGTTCCTGATTTTAAATTTGCTCATAGGCCTACAAAAAAACGAATCGAATAATTGCGCTATTCGTATTCGTACGAATAATAAATTCAATATTCGTAAAAATTTTTATAAAGCTTATAAAAATTATAAACAGATATAATGTTTTAAGATGACATTTTTAAGGATTCTCTCAACAACAATTTACAGAAAATAAACGAAATAAAACCAAATGATTTCATATAACGTTATTCAAACAAATTGGCAAAAAACGTCCAATTTATAGATTAGAATTGCTTATAAAAAATATTTAAATTATTTCTTCAATCTAATATACAAATTTTATTAAAATATTCTGAAAATATACAATAATTTCATTTTATAAACATCAAAATATAATACACAAAAAATATAATTATAGTATATCTGAATTTGTTAATAACCAATTTTTTAAACATAACATCTTTCTTATAGTATCCTCTTTCAGAGACATCATATTCTTAAGTTCCTGGCAGATAAATAACTAAATTTTGACTAGTTCTTATTCTTTGATTAGGAAAATTCTTTTCCCATTTAGTAACCTTATTTTTTATCAAATTTTAAAGTAAATCATCTAATTCAGATAGTGTATCATAATCACTATCATAAAATCTTCATCACTATTAATTACATTACCATAATCACTAACAATAATATTTTGAAGTTTTAATTGCAGTGGCTTAGCCAGGAATCTTAACACCAAAAATGATTAAATAAAGAGAAAGTATCAAAATAAAATAATTATATTTTTGTTTACTTTGGGTTTGGGGCTTTTCCTTTTCTTCCATTAAAATTTGACAGCAATTAATATAAGTTATGGATTTGATAAAGATAATAGGAAATAAAATCGTTTTAGGCCTATTTGCCCATTTAGTTGGGTCCCATATGGAAAATTTATTAGGTATTTTAGATTTATGTAATATCTTTATTCATCTCTGTTTAAGTTGACTGAACAATTGAAAGCATTTCTAAATTCTAGGCATAGATTTCGTGCTTACACAGTAGTGTATCCTTTGTAAAGGAAAAAATGAATTAGCAGCAGAATTTTAGCCATTACAATTATTTGTTATGAAAATTTTGTCAATGTCAATGCTTAATTGTACATTATTTTAACCCATAAATTTACATCATGCCAGAATGGAAAATATAAAGGAACTAAATATCTATTTAGTGCTAATATTTAATGTCTGGGATTTTTTCAATCATGCATATTGATTTTAAAAATACATAGTGTAATTTACTTTAATCAATTATATTACGTTAAAATTGTTTTAAACAATAAAAAAAGAGCCTTTTATTGTAATAAAATGTTCATATATAGGTTTCATCTATCGTTTTTAATACATTATTTGATATTTTTGAAAAAAAGAAGCTTTTTTATCTCTTAATTGTCAATTTAGGTTGCCATATAAAAACTATTCGATCGTAATATATTTTTGTAAAAAAAAAATTTTTTTGGGGGGAGGGGGGCTTCACTTCCAAGTTCCCTTTTGGCTTCTAGCCGGGTTTTAAAAGGTAAACAATTCCTAGCCTAAAAAAATACTGATTTATTTTTGAGATATTATATTAATAAAAATAAAGGGGGATTTTTAGTATTAAAATTTTTTTAAATGAAGATTGTATTTATCATTTTAAAATTTATACAAATTATCTAATATGTTATGGTCGCTAATTATATAAAATCCAGTCTTTTTATTGTTATCAGACAAAACATAACAAATTTAAAAACGGGATAGAATAGAAAGAAGTAATTGATTTTTTAAATTTTTCTTTTTTTAGCAAAATACTTTATTTTTTTTATATAAAAATTTGAAAAAATTTTTAGAATATGGCAAATTTTATGGAAGTTTTTGGTATATTTCGGTAATTTTAAAAATGCTATAGAATTGTTGTAGTATAGTTGAGTGTGGTAGATTTCGACCTTAAAATGTTGTTATCTACTAGTCAATGTGGTAGACCTGGCAACCCTGGTTATATATATAAAATTAATATTTAAATCTTTAAAATCAATAATTAATTATCGATAAAAAGTAAAAATGGTCGAATTTTTTATCTTATCCCTATTTAAAATAATACTATTGCCAACAAGCTAAAATTTTGTTTTTAATCTAATACTTATATGACATGCCTACCAATTTTTATTAAAATTGGAAGGGATTGGTAGAAAATAAATTATTTTCTTGCTCATTTCAGAACGGAGAATATATATAATGTGTTACTTATTAATTCTTCACTTAATTTTGCCAATTACAAAAAAGTAATCTATTTATAAGCTAAATAATTATCATATCACTAGCTTGAAGTCAGCCAAACATCTGGAAACATTAACTCTGAAACTTATATTAATAATCACTCATTTTCGGAAAAATATAAAGTTGCCAAGATTGGCAATACGCTAGAAAGAAAATTATAAAATCACCAAATATCTGGGTGTGTCATTATATAATGATTGATTAGTATTTAGTACTTAGTAATTCATCGTTTTTTTCAGTCAATAAACTTTTTGAACAAACTTATCGTTTTCATAGTATATTGCAACTAAGTAACTTCTAAAAGAGTTATAAAACTAAATAAATCATTTTGGGAAAAGTTATTAAATAAAATATATTTGTTTAGGTTTAGGAATAAAAGTTATTAAATGTGAGCTACGATAATATTTTGAATGAATATATCCAAATTCATAATTATTTATAAGAAATGTATTTATTAAGGATTGTTTCTTATTTTCACATTAAATTTTAAACAAAAGAATTGAAGAGTTTTTTTATATTTGGTTTATCTATTTTAAGTTTAACTGAACCAGCCAGATCTAAATAAAAAAGATCTGGGCTGAGTTACTGGGTCCCTCTAGTTTTAATATTTTTTTATATTTATTTCTTAGACAATGGCTTTTGGTAGTGACAGAAGCAGGTTTGTTGATATGATGTATTCCGGGAAAAGAGCTGTTGAAGATAAAAATATTGGTCCTTTAATTAAAACAATAATGACACGCTGCATTCATTGCACTAAATGCATAAGGTTTCCAAAATAATTTAATTTATCGTGACTAATTTAATATTAAATTTTTCTATTATATATTAATCCTGGAACGCACTATTAATTTAATTGTTACTTTTATGAATTTGAGAATATTTTAAAATGTCAAACATCATAAAATTTATTTAACTTCTTCAAATTTTTATAATTAGTACATTATTATATATATTTTTTATAATTAAAACTAGATTTGCATCCGAAATAGCTGGCGTAGATGATTTGGGAACCACTGGTCGAGGATCTGATATGCAAGTTGGCACATTCGTTGAAAAAATGTTCTACTCCGAGTTATCAGGAAATGTTATTGATCTGTGCCCTGTTGGAGCACTCACATCTAAACCATATACTTTTACAGGTAATTTTATTTACTACTTGTAAATTAATTGATAAGAACTAATTTTGGTTTTTAAATACTAATTTTATTAAGATTACATTTCTAATTAATAACCTCCATGTTTAACTAAAAACTAACCAAAACATCAGCGTAACCAAGGGGAAATGGAACGGTAAATTTCCCATTTTTCGTAAATATCATTTTACGCTAATAAAAAATATTTTTAGCACTCTTTTCGCTTAGAGGTCGATCTAATCCGGCCCGTGTTAAAAGGTTTTTTTGGTCTGGCCTCCAATTATTTTGTTATTTTATTTATTATTATTTTGACGTTTTAATAATTTTATTAAACTATATATAAAATAACATATGTAGAAATGAAATATTAAAACCATGTTAAAAATATTAAAAAAATAACATATTGTCGGTCTGGAAGAATGCTTCACTTGCAAAATTGGTAAAGGGAAACACTATTTTAAAGTTATAATTAAAAAATTGAGAGTAAATTTAAAATTTTGTGAGAATTTTATTTGATAAAATAAAATGAAAGTTGAGCAAAATAAACACTTTAATGTTGTTAATAGATTTATGGCGGGGGTCCGCGAGAAAATTTTCAGTGCAAAAGATCGTAGGTATTCGATTCGATGGGCTGGCCACAATCGATGCAAATGGAGGGTATAACTGCATTACCGCAGAGGCGAAGAGCTATGGATATGCATAGTTGTTCGCCAGTCATGAGGAGAGCTAAGTGAAAAAGTTAATATCCGATCCACTCTCTCAGCGGGCCTTTCAAATTAAAACGCCATAACGATGGTATATCCCTTATTCCCTGGACTAACGGTTTCCCGCTGACCAGGGACTACACTTGTATCGATTTTGCAACGAAGTCTAACCTTTCATTTTTTTGCCATCGAAAAGGCAGAAATCCTTAAAAAAACAAATATTCTGACCTCACAAACACACTGTTCCTACCAATCGTTACCAATACCTTAGGCATGTTTGAAAATGAGGCCTTTAATTTTATTGAAACGATAGGAAAAAAAGGAGACAGATTACAGGCGACCCCAACGAAGGATTCCACCTTCATCAGCAGATTTTGAGAGAAATCAGCCGTGCCAGTCCAATTTTCTATTCACTTCGTTAGCCTTTTTTAAGTTCTTTTAAATTGTTTTTTATTTAAAATTTATATATGGTGAATTCCATATCAAATCAACCAAAAAAAGTTAATTTTCAACCCGACTCCCTCAGAATTTTTTTTAAATTTTGTATATTGTAATATATGCTATAGCTAAGAAAAAAATGGAATTTTACTTCATTACATCACTTACTATCTAAGATATATAGGTTTAAAAAGCGGAAAAATGGTACATTTTTGACAAAATGCACTTCATTAACTTTCATATATCTTAAGAATAAATTAAGTTAGAGCAATAATTTAATTTTATAAATAGCTTAATAATGGGTTTTTAATATGACATATTAATAAATGTGTTAGACACACGATTATTATCCAAAACCGGAAGTACAAAACCGGAAATGGCCATAGAAAAGAAAGGTATTTTTTTCCTGTAGATGTATACAATACTGCTTTATATTTATACTAAATCCTAAACTGGGATGAACGTTAGTCTAGGAATTATGATCCTTTTTATGGCGAAAATTGATCAAATTTAACATAAATACTATCATATTTAAATTTAATTAATACTTAAGTAATAATTTTAACTAAAATTTATGTCTAAATGAAAGGCTCTCACTTTATTATTTAAAAAAAATAAGAGAGGAGCGGGGGGGGGGGAGTAATGTGTTTTATTTAACACTATTTTAAAGCTCATTAAAATTTAATTTATATGTTGGCGAATTCTTAGTTATTACTAACTTAAGAAAATTATGCATTTATAGTGCAGAGTCATGCACAAGGATTCATTGGACTAATAATCAAGCCACTTGATTTATTACTTTTAAGACCACTTAATTAAACAAGTAAATTTTGCTGTTATACACAACACATGTGCATTTTGTTTATTTCAAACAAAATCGATCTTTCCTTTTAGATGAGATTTAACAGAGTTGCCAAAATTCATTATTTTTCTGATGGGGGAGTTACCCAATATAAAAATTGGAAAAACTTAACTTACTTCTACAATCATAAAAATGATTTTGGGATAAAGGCAGATGGCAATTATATGCAACCATTGATAAGAGTTCCTGCGACAGTTTCGGGAGCGTTATTATTAGCAGTTCGAGTAAGCTTGTAAATTTCATATAATCATATATTAACGACAAAGGATTTGTATAACTATTCAAGAAATAATATCAGAAAGATAAATTATACATTTGTGAGCAATATCTATATAAAAAATCATCTTGAAAGCAGGTTTTTGACAGCAAATTCTGGAACACAAAATTTTTATCATCCCACATTAGAATTGTTTCAAGTATCATTTTTATTATTAACTTTTTATGCAGAAATATGGCATTATTTCAGATACAAAAGATTACCAGATAGAACAACACTTAGCCGGAGTGGATTAGATGTGTATTTATCAATGAAAGCATCCACATGTCAGAAAATTAATATAGGTCCAAAATTTTGTGCTATAGCTTTTAATATGGACCGACAAATATAGACGGCGAAATTATATTACCTTTACATTTCACGTCTAATAATATTATAAATTTCAAAAACATACAGCTGAAACTATTATTTCCGAAATAGAAAAAGTTGAAAATGAATTTGATTTAGGGTCCGAGAAAATTTAAATGGTTACGGATGCAGGACCAATGCTAGTCTAGGATAATATGATCATCATTTATGTTTGGGGCATATATTACATAATCTAGTGACAGTCGATGGAATAAAAATAATAAAATAGAAAATCACAAAAAAGTTAAATAAATTATAGTTGCCTTAAGAAAACAGCGGATTTTGAAAAAAACAATATCGAAAATGGGATATGTTTGAATCGATATCATTTACATAGGATATTTTAGATTTGTATGATAATGATTCTTTTTATGAAGTTCGTTTTGGGTTTGGTGATGATAGTGCAAATCAAAAATCATATGAGAAAAATAATGAAACCTTAAAATTAAATGTGCATACACGTTGGCATAGTTATTTAAAAATGCTGGAAAGTGTGAGTGGCAATATCAAAAATCCTATAAATATTCTATTTAATAGAATGGAGAAACCAAATCTCAAATTATTTAACTCCGATTGGGATGGTGCATGAACTTTTAAATTTTCTTAAAACCTTCAAAAAACTGTTGAATTTTTATCCGCTCAATAAGGATTTACTATAAATTTATCCTTATTATTTCGTAGTGAAATTAAAAATCATTTAATAATAAAAGAATATGATAATCCTTCCATAACATCCCTTAAATAAAATATGCTTACTAAATTTGATCATAGATTTCTAATAACGTATCTTCAGGTAGTATTTTGAAATACATAAATTAGTTTTTTTTAAATATTATTTCTCTTTGTTTTATTTTTTTAATTAGGTTTGAGCACTATAAATATAGTAAATGAATATTTAAAGGAAAATAATATTACTTCGGTGCAATTTTTATGTCAACGCGCTACCTCTCTGTTTCCTTACACAGACGAATTAACCTAATGTGAAACGACATAAGTAGCTTCAGGATTCGATTATCTTACCTCATTGGCTACCAAACATTCATTTATTTATAATCTGGAACAACAAGACTATTTAACTAGTTTTAAAAAAGAATTATTTTCGGCATAATTTAGATATAAAAGATGTCTTAGATTTTTGGAAGATAAGAGCATTGGATCTTCCTAAACTTCCATTATTAGCTATAAAGGTCTCGTGCGTTGCAACTACGAGTATACCCCAAGCGTGTATTTGCCATAGTTGGGCTCACTCTGAACTCTAAAGGATCATCATTATGTCTTATAAATCTAAATAAAATAATATTTATACATGATAATTATAACCTAATAAAATCGTTAAATTATAGTTATAAACATAATAAAGCATAAATTTTATTTTAAGTCTTTCCAATGAATTTATAATTTTGATTAAAAAATTTAAGTTATAAAAATATTTGACGCCGTCACGCCGCTGCCATTTTGGCGGCCTCTGATTCGTCGCCGCCAGCCAATCGTTTTAAGAAAAGTTGATGAATAGGGCAAACACATATTGAATGTGTACCACTGCCAATTCTCGAGACGAAGATCACAAATTTAGAGAATCCAATTTAATATTTGAATGAATACCTTTAAATTTAAGATATAGCTCTCGTAAATTAATTAAATAATCTTTTTTGGATTTGAATCTTTTCACAATTTTTTATTATAGGAACAAAATCCCTTTTCCCAGGCATCGATCTACTTTATTCATCATTGCTATAAAAAGTTTTGACAATAGCAACGGTGGCGGCATTTATTGTCTTACCGGATTTAGGATTTGGTGTTGAAAAAAAACCCTTTAAACCTTTTAATTTTAACGCCATATGATATGAAATATTAAATTCTTTTACAATTTTTATTACTGTCCAATTTGATGGTAATAATGTTAATAATCTATGTTTATTTGTAATCGACAACTGTGGGAAATTGATTTTTAAGATCTAGAATTTCACCGAATTTTTCATTATTTGATGAAAATAATAGTATAATTTTAGTCGTTAAGCCATTTTTTACCTAGATATTTCTTTTCACATAAGCGTTTTTAATGTAAGATTCCCCTATTGATTGTAGGAATATATTAATGTTAATAGCCTCTTGATTTATTATATAAGGGGGGTAATATATACATTGTCATTTGAAGTATAAGGAATATTTTCTAATTTTTGTCGGTATGAAGAGCATATTAACATATCTAAATTGATTGGTAATTTTTTTTGCGTCTTCCAGGATAGAATCCTCCTTAGATTCATGCTATAATAATCATGTCTTTGTAGATTAAATGGGTTGCAACTATTTCAACGTTTGGTATGTCCATCTGTGATCTAGAATAAAATTTTAATTGTCTGCACCTAGAATATATGTTTTTGCACTCTGCAAATTTCGAATGTTATTGGTAGACTGACGATGAAATAATAAGCTGCAGACGGGCTGAATTATTTAAAATTTAATAAAATATTATTTTTTAGTGCAGCTTCCTTAAGAATAATATTTTTCAACCATTAGAATAAAATAAATGTTTAAAACGATCTCTCTTTCTGCATAATATTTTTAACTTGCCGTTTTCCATTAATTAGATCTCTACTTTCTACTATAGCGAATGTCTTATTAGCTCGTTTTTCAATTTTTGGTAAAAATGTATATTTTGGAAGAGTCGATAGCGTCGCCAAGTTTTGACATCGTATATATATTTATAAAAGGTGCCTAAATAAAAAGCAAAATTTCGGAAACAAACTCCCTTTTTTGCTTAAAAACACAGTAAAGCAATATAAAAAAAAGACATATATATTCATAGAAATAATAAGCTGAATAAAAAATTATGCCAATATTTAATTGATAATTTTTTTTATAAAATATGGAAATGGTGCACAACAGATGATTTTAAAATATGATATCATAGATAGTGCATATAGAGTAAAAATTACGAAAATATCTCAAAATTAGAGTACTCCTATGTGGCCAAAATTAATAATTTAAGATTTAGTTTTTATTCAAATATTTAGTAGAAATTAATCAATTACTGTGTTACAAGGTTTGTTGATAACCTTGAGAAAAAAATCGGCATAATTATATGAAGGGCGGGCCTCCATATAATTCACGTTCGCTCACTTTGGGCAGGTCTATGACCAACGTGCTTAATATGATATGAAAGTCCACTCCAAACTCAAATATCTTAAAAATGTCAAGTGAAGCACTCCAATTCTAGATCGACGATATATTAAATATAAAAAAAGAAGTTAAAAATAGTCATCCTCTTCTGATGACCGCTACGAATTTTTAAATAATCTAAAATTGTAACATGAAATTTTTAAGCTGATTTTTTTTATTTGGGGACCTCGAGAGGATTGATGTTTTAGGACACTTTTGGCTGATTAGTTTTGTTAAGGATTCAAATATAGAATACGAGTTTATTAATGTTTCGAAATAAAAAAATTAAACAATTTTTCTCCATTTTTATTATATTTTTCTATTATATACAATACATATATGTTTGAAAAACAATCTCGATTAAAATTAAGTCATACTTAAGGCAAAGTAACAATGAATTTACACAATTAATAATTGAACGTATAATAACATAATTATATTATCCACTAGTATTTAAGATAAATATGGTGATATAAATAATAATAATGGCTTAGGTTTATCAACACCTCAACATATTCCCTTTTTTTAAAGACTTCATTTTATACCCAGGAAATCACGTCTCTTACCTACTTTGCTAGACCATCTAATCCCAGTATTCTTTGGAATTTCCTTTCCTTCTCGTTCCCTAGTATTTTCTTTTCTCCTTTCCTTTAATTGATATACGTGTCTCCTCTGTTCCATCTCTATGCGTACCATGTATGTTACGGGTCCTTTTTTTCAACTTCTGGAGCCTCCCCTCTATTCCACATTCGTATTATACCACTGTGCCCATACTAAATCATCTTTCTTGGCTTCCGTAACCCACTGTTTATCGAAACAGCTGGACGGCTCGGCCTAACTCATCCCAACTCACTCTTATTTTGCGTTTGAATATCATCTCATCTGGCATTTAATCCAAGTTTAGTGTCGTTTTGTCTTATCTATCTTTTCGCTTGGCCGTTAGAAGCCGGGTGATACTGCGACATAAATACTTGCTCTATTCCTCTCTACCAGAACACTTGTAATTCATTGGACCTGAATTGAGCCTCATTGTCCGAAATCAAGATTTCAGGATTTCCGATTACTACTTTTGCCGTTGTTTTTTCCATTCTTTGAAATAATAACCTGTATGGGCCCATGGTGTCCATATCTAGCTTATTCCAGGTTTTTTATTGGTTCCTAATTGTTTAGTGGAACTTTCTTTGGCGCTACTAATTCCGTGGAATTTTTTATAAACCTGCTATAATAATTAGTTAAACCGAGAAAAGGTCGGACCTCTCCTTTTGCATTTAAAAGTTTGCATTTTACATCTACTTCTATCTTATCTTTATTCATACTTATTCCTTTTTTTTACTTATCGCATGACCTAAAAGCATAGTGACTCTCTTTCAAACTTGCTCTTCTCCCAGTTTGCTTTTAATCCCTATTCATCTATTCTGTTTCTTACTCTTTTTAAACATTCGTTGTGCTCTAATTTTTCTTTCCCCATGATAATTATATCGTCTATATATATAATGACTCCTTCCATGCTCCCAAATACTTGATCCATGACCTTTTGAAATATAGCTATGGAACATTTTAGTCCAAACGGAATTCTTTTCACTCGATATAATCTTCGGATCTTAATTCAGAATTCGATACGAACATTCTTTCCGGATTTGTTTAATTTCATCACTATTTTTTACACACCTATTGATTTTTTTCTAATTTTAGAAATATATCTTAGACAAGTACATTTGATAGTTATCAAATGTACTTGTCTATTATACATTTTAAAATTAGAAAAAAAATTACGTGTTTAAAAAATAGCGGTAAAATTAAACAAATCCGGCCAGAAAGTTCGTATTTAATTCTGAACTAGGATGGTATAGCCGGAAATAATCTTCGGGTGATCAACATGATAACTCATTATAATCCTATTTTTTTATATTTCTAAGCCTTAGATCGCCCCGATTAAAATTTTTTTAACCCTAAGCTAAGTTCCCTGCAGGGCTTTTATTCAGGGGTTCCAACCGAACCCTGAAAAGAAAATCGGAATTTTGGGGAAAAAATTTTAAACCTAAACCAAACCTGAACCCGTTTATAAAATTTTCAAAACCCCCAACCGAACCCGGGAATTTTATTTGAATCCGGGTTCAAACGGGTTCAATGTATTGTTTAAATTAATATAAGATATTTGCATAATTGTAAATATAAATATTAATAATTTACTTGACATTTTATAATATTTTCAAATTTCCAATTAAGTGAAATGTTAATAAATTTTAAACAACTTAATTCATTTACTCCATTTTTAAATTTATTTTCAAAGATTCCTATTGGATTGTTAATAAATTTTAAACAATTAAATTTATTTACGCCATTTATTTTTAATTATTAACTTATTCTCAAGGATTATTAATTAGAGGAAAATAAGAGTGAACAAATTAAAGTAAAAATTATTATAATGGATATTGTTAATTTAAAGAAATACGTCTAAATAAAATTTTTTAAATCTATACATGACTATGCTTTGTATTTTTAACTATATTTTGCCTATAAATAAAATAAAAAATTTATTTTTTATACCAAATTTATGTATAGTTTTTTAATTATGAATTAAATATAGAATATTTATTTTTATCAATTTAAAAAATCTTAAACCCTAGCTGAAACCGAAACCAAACCCGGGTTCAAAAATATCCCTGAACCGAACCCACCTATTTTTTAATTTTAAACTTAACCCTAACCGAACCTGGGCAAAAATTTTGCCGGATTTGCATCCTGCTTTTATCTAATCTCAGAAAATGCCATTGAATTTTGCTGTTTCTATATTTTTGGTAAATAATTTTTATTTGAACTATTTGGAATAACATTATTCATCTGAAATCCCGAATCTGAACCCCGGGTTTTGTGCTCAGAGCAGGCCTGACACAAATTGGGTCTTAAATTTACGATCAAGCAAATTAACAACACTACGCCAGCTCATCTAGCAAAGCGACTCATTCATTAGCCTTATTATATCAATATATATTCTTGATTTTTTTGATCTGCCACAGATTTCATTCCATTATTGATAGCATAAATAACGATTGCACTGAGTAAAGATACAACACATAGATTTATGAATTTTTTAAAAATAATTTTCGCTAACTTTCATTTATATTAAATATGATATTTTAAAATCTTCTATCAAATTATAAAAAATTAGAATGATAATATTAATCAAATGACGATACATGGTTAAATTAAAGTTTTAAATTGTTTATTGTTATTAATCTTAGGTAATATGTTTTCATTTTTATATGGATATCTATTATATCATGTTTCAGCAAGACCATGGGAAACACGTAAGACAGAAAGCATAGACGTTATGGATGGTGTGGGAAGCAATATAGTTATTAGTACCAGGTCTGGCGATGTTATGCGAATATTGCCGAAAGTTAACGATGATATTAACGAGGAATGGATATCTGACAAGACTAGGTTTTAAAAAATATTTTGAATATTTAAAATAATCTTTAAATAAAAAATAAATTATTAAAAAACATTAGTTAACAATAACGGCTTAGGGAGATTCAGATCTTACTTCTTATCACTCCATAGTTCTATGCAGTTTTTAGGCTACTTTTTAAAAACAATTTTACAAATAAATTTGTTTTATTTTATATTTGTTTTATCACTTCAATACTTCGAAACTTTTTCTGCGAAATGTATCATCGCGAATCAATTACAGCGAATGCATTACCGCGAAAATATCATCACGTATGCATTACAGCTAATGTATACTGCAAATGCGTTAGTTTGAATTTATTGCCTTGAAAATAATATCGAGAATTTATTACAGCGAAATTGATACTGCGAATGATTTTAGCAAATCTTATAATTAATACATTATCGCGAATGCAATAGTGATTTATTTTGACAAGTGGTTAATTAAAATATAAAATATTCCTTTTATTACTACTACCAAATAAAATTATATTAAAATTAACATATCAAATATAAAATAAAATAAAACATTATTTTATAAAAACGGAGGTGGGACTACAAAAAATATAGGCGATAAGATAAGAACCCTTACATCAGAACCAAAAGAATACTATTTTTTAAAACAAAATCTACAAAAAACTATTTTAAAATATAAAATTAAAATTCCTTTATTACTTCTTAATTTTTTAATTAAAAATTTTTTATTTTTTTAATATTTTGTAAAGTATAATTTTGTTACCTTTTGGGAGTGCCGGGCACATAATATTATATTATTCTACTGGATCTTCTTTTTTTTATAGAAATTCTCTAAACTCTACTGCTATATTATAAATCATTTAGCAAGTTCAAACCATTTTCAAAAAACTAAATTAATGTTTTATGCTATTTATGAAATTTCATATTTTATTAAAAAATATAAGGAATTTAATATCGTTATCAATTTATAAAATTAAACAAATATCAATTATATCAAATTAAAAAAATATTTTATATGGAAAACACTAAAAAGAACTGAAAAAGGTACATATCACCCTAGAGGAGTGAATCCTTAAACAATTGATCACGTGTTAATTAAAAATACTAATATTTGACAAAAATATTTATAGCCCTCATTTGTTTTTATTTATTCAAAAATGGGCTAGACGTGTTTTCATTATGTTGATTTTTTTTCTTAATTATAAATATCTAGTTGATTTGATAGCTTGACAAGAATGACGCGGAATTAGAATTTTCTTCAATATTTCATGATAGATAAATAAAAAATTAAGCCTATCTTATTAGGTGTAAATCAGAAATTTATATTTATTTTGATAAATGTTGATTCAGAAATTTTTATAAAATGTGATAATGTAGTACCTTAAATTTGAATAAATATTTCTGGTACATATTTTGAATGTATTTTTTTCATTTACATCGGTTTCATAATATGTGGAAAAATTGTATTTATGTGCACAATAAAAAAAAATTTTCATCTCATTTTTATACATATAAGGAAATTTTTTGATTAATCCATTATCACATATAGGAGAAAATTTTCACCTGTTATTAGGATTTAAAAAGTCCGATTTAGGCCCATTTTAAAAAACGGATCAATTAAGATTTTAGCCAAATAAGCTTGGAAATTTTGCTTGTAGTACGCAAGAAGGTTTTAACCTCTATTATCGATGCTTGCAAATTATTTTGGCTAAAATCTTAATCGGGTGGTTTTTAGAAATCTGAGTCTTTTTAACATTACCAGTCATCTTGCCGCGCTATTTGCTCGTATTTTATAAAAAATATTGAAAAATTTTGGATTTAACTTTCATCTAAATAATGGTAAATTTCTGATTTACACATCATAAGATAGGCTAATTTTTGATTTATCTATCATCAAATAAAGGAGAAATTTGTGATTCACCAGTCATCAAATAAATAATGATTTCCCATCCTTTTTGATGGGTTAACTATTACCTTTTTTATCAACCTCCTTCCTTTTCACTTATGATTTATAAAAAAAATTTAATTTATTTTTTTGCATTAATTTAGAATTTTAACGTCAAATGTTACTTATATATATAATCCATTTTTTAATTTATATTTTTCTTGAAATATCGTATATTGAAGTTGGAGAAAATGATTGATAATAAAACATTTTTATTTACTTTTCATAATAAATTTTTTTGGAAATTTATTTTATACATAAATGATATTTATATAAGATTTTAGTCATATGGTCAATATTTAAGGTTAGAAATCTCTTAGATCAGTGTTGTCCCAGTCTAAAATTTCCCAAATATAAGGAAGTATAATGTATCAATATATCCCATTTTTGGTAAAAGACTTATTTTCGATGAAATAAATTTTATATCCTAAAAAAGGGATATTCTATCCTCCCAACTGAAAAATGAAATCAATTAATTTTTTGTAAAATAGTTTACATATTTAAATATTTTATCTTTCATAAAACAATACAATTATTTTCTTGCTGACAACCGTGATAATCAATTTAGTCTCCTTGGCCCATCATTGTCTTGATGTGCAGGACCCAATTCACATGTTTCACCTCTCTATTAGTTAGTAGCACTTTTAAATATAATGTAAATCTACAAATCAACGACAATAATAAACACCATAGTAAAATTATAAAAATTTTATCCAAAATATAAGGTTTTATAAAAGATAAAAATAAATGATTAAATCTAAGCATAAAAATATCTCATGATATTCCATTAAAAATGTTCATTCGCTTATTTTGATATAGAATGTCAGCTGTTAATTAATTTTAATATATTGGGTGATAGTATAATAGTTTTGCAAATACTTCTATGATTTTTATATAATTTTTCCTTAATTTGGAAATCTAAGATTTTATAGATAAAAAAATTAACAACGTTCAATTTTATAAATCATCGATAAAAAAGGTAAAATGAATGAATGTTTTTATTGTTTACTATTCAATATCATTTGACATTACAAAATAATATTGTATTTTGCAATATTCCACATTGCGCTAGTGGCGAATGTACTTATTTTATACTTTAACTTTATATGTAGATATTTTATTTAATCGTCTAGATCTTAGAATGATATTTATAATAATAATTTTATTAAATAAAGTTTAAGCCAACTTGCGGATTGAATATTATTAAAAATATTTATTTTATTTTTTTAAATATAATCACATAAAAATATTTAAACCATGTATTAATAGATTAAATGAAATATAATTATTAATTTATATTAATTACATTATTATTGAATATATCTAGTAATTTAATTTTTTATAACTTGTTGATTTGATAAGAAAATCAACATCAGCTCAATTGAGGTTAGAAAAAATATTTACCTACCATTTGCAGTCAGAGTTGGGCAGGTCCTTTTGAAAAAGAATCTAGATACAGATACAGATTCTTTGTGAAAAATACTTGTATTTTTTACTTAATTAGAGTATCTTAAATACGAGATACTTTTAAATTATAATTACCAATTAATTTAGAATAGCTTATAAAATACAGTTTTTACTATTTATTTGTGAAGAACATAATATACACATATAATAAGAATGAATATTTACAATATTTAGTAAAACTATAATGATGAGTTAATTATAATAATCAGGCATTTTAATATTAGTATTAGCCCATCCTTAGCACAGAATGAGAAGGGAGATTCGTATTTTTAATTGGAGTTGAAATATTAATTTGCAGCATATTTAAAATACATTCATTATAATCAAATTTTTCAAATAATTTATCATTAGACCTTTGCCGTTTCGGCGTACTTAATATTGTACCAAAACTAAATAACCTTAATTGGAGTTGATGAAGATATTGCAGTATTATATGTATAAATATAATATATTTCGACTTAATATAATTTAAAACCTCCAGCTCAATGCTATATGAATTATAACTCAGCACCATTTGTTTCACCAAAAGAAAAATAATAATCATTTTTTTATTAGATGTTAATCCTATTGATTTTGTATTGAGCTTGATTATATACTATGGTACTATATTTAGGGCTTCTTTTATTAATATATTTTGAAATTATTTTTTTTATTATCCGACTCAATACATAAGTTCTTAAAATATGGATGTGAAATTTATGTCAAAAAAGCCACATTATATTCAAATCATAGGAAAATATTTTCATAAAATCTTTTGCCCATACTATCTTGGGCAGCTTTTAATAAATGTAGACAGTATTGTAAACTTGAATTTTTAAGATAATCTATGCCCCTTTTAATTACACATAAATAATATACTTTAATATGTTTAAACCCTTTATCATTTATTTGTTTATACAGGTTTTACATCTAGCCTGTAAATTGTCTTTTTTGACTTTTATTTTAAAAATATTTCCATATAAAATTTTAAGATTGGGATATTATTCAGGGGAACTTATTTCTATAAATTAAATTTCCGTGAGTGTTAATCATCCTACAAATTAAAAATATTTACATAAAATTGGTAATGATATTCAATCGAGTTACATTTATATATAAAATATAATCTATACTTTCGTTTAGGTGTTGTTATTTTTTATCTTTCTACCTTAAGATGAGTAAATTTTCCAGGTAATTTTGGCTATCAATATATTAAAATATGGCGAAAAAAAATAAGGAAATTAATACAAGATTCTTGAAGAAAATAAAATATATACTGTGATATGTAAAATTTTAAACATGAATATTAAAAAGAATCTTTATCTTTTGTCAAGAAAATGAAAATGAAAAATGATTTTTTCAGAATTAAGGATCTTAGATACAGATATTATCTTATTAGAAATATCAAAAAGATACAGTGTACAAGATACAAAAAGATCTTGTATCTTAGATACAAGAATTCGCGGTACTGCCCAACTCTGTTTGCAGTTTAGTCTAAGCGAAGAAAACAAATCAGAGATATTAACATCATGTCTATTAATTGAAACTTTTATATGTATTTGTAAGAGTATTCAACGAACAAGATAGGAGAAGACTATATTAAATGCATATACGGTTAAGAAAGGTCATTTTTTTATATATTGATAATAAATTACTGAAAATGATTAAAATAATGATGTTTATATTTAGGCAACTAGTGCTTTGCAAATTTAATTTATTTAAGCCCGAGTCCGACCCAAAATTTTTATTTATTTTGAGGCTCGAGCCCAGCCAAATTTTTAATTTAGGGCTGATCTTGTTCTGTCCTGAATTTAAGGGAAAAATATAATTAAATGCATATATAAACAATTAAATAATATAAAATTTCTTTGCCATGATCCTAAAGAAAACATTCTATTTTATTGAATCTTTTTTATATATTTTGAGTCAAAAAAAATAAATAGCCAGAGCCCACGTTTCAAGAAAATGTTTTTAGACCCAAGTCCTTCTTTAAAACCATTTTCAGGTTCCAACTAAGTCTGTTTAAAGGCCGACATATATATATGTCTAATTTTCACCAAATTGCATTCCCTATATTTCAATTAAGGCAATTCATTTGCGATAATACATTCGCTCTAATATTTTCGCAATAATGCATTCGTGATAACGCTATATTACAAAATATTCGCGCTAATGCATTCGCTGTAATATATTCACCCAAATTCTTTCTATAATTCATTCTCGGAAATTCTTTTTCGAGGTAATGCATTTCTTGCCAAATTTTCGCAGTATTGACATGTTATTTTTAATATAATCCGGTTGCATAAAAAATGATTGTCAAATAGACCTGGGTCATCACTGAACCAAAATAAGATGGCTTGGTTACGGGTGAAAGTGCAAAAAAACGAATATAATAAATTTAAAAAAATCAAGCGCTAGGGTTGAGCGATCGTTTAGTAAGGCAAATCAAAACTAATAATTTATAATATAGGATTTGGATGGTTTATAAATTTTGTTTGTATAGTATTTATATATTATTTTCTAAATAATTTAAATGTTATTTATATGAAAAAAAATATTATCATATCTAAAATAAAAAATATTAGCTAATTATACTCTTTTTTTAAAAAAAATTATATTTTTCAGAGTAACGATGGTAACATTTATTTTATTTTTTTAAGATTTGCTTATGATGGACTTAAATATCAAAGATTGGTGAGCCCGATGATCAAAAAGAATGATATTTTTGAAAATTGCGAATGGGAAAAGGCCTTAAATTTATTAAGCGAAAAAATATGTCAAACCACAGGTTCCCTCTTTTAATGCTCAATATAGTAGTCTATCACTCTTAAATATTTATTTTTTTATAATAGCTTAAAATTCACATAAATAAACCTTCGCGCCAATAAAATTATCGATAGCCTGCGGAACATCGTTTTTTTAGCCATCATCATGGGCGGCATGAATTGGCGCACCTTTTTAAATTTAATATAATATATATTAATTAAATGATTCATTTGCAAATTGTTAGACAAATTTAAAGAAATAGAATTAATAATTAAAAATAAACAGAAATACTGATTTAGCAGTGCCCTACTTTTAAAAGTAGCACGCTATAGCTATTTACCAAAAAGGTAGTGGGCGACCACTACATTGCTTACTAAAAAATAGCTAGTTGAAAAGTAGCTTGGCTACTTTCAAAAATAAGACAACTATATATGAAAAAATATAATAAATTTTAAAAAATATAAATTAGACAACTATATATGAAAAAATATTTTAAAAAATAAATTTTATATAATTAATAAATTTTAAGGATAATTTTCAGTATAGAATATATTAAGTAATTTCTCATATTTTACTTTCGATTATATTTGTTAGGCTTTATTATAGATTTCATAGTTACTTTTGAATATATTTGATTTTCATAATAAAATATTTGTACCATCATTTTTGATTATCTAGCCTAGTATATTATATTTAATGCTGATAAAATTTATATATATTATAAGAAATTTTTTAGTTATAGAATATATAAAGTAATTTTTTCATATTTTTATTTTATTTTAGATTGTATTTAATTTTTATAATAAAATTATATTAATTTTTAAATTACTCAATTCTGATCTTAGATGTCTAGATTATATTCAGTTGGTTATAGTCATTTTTACAAACAAAAAGCTCAAAATTAAAAAGGCTATATTGCAGTTTGCAAATACTATAATTTAGATTACAATTTTCTTAATTCAACATAATGACAATATGTATGAAACTCAAATTTAAACCCAGCAAATAATATTGTTGATGGTGATGATAGGTCACTTCCTCTAATAACTTTAATTCAGCTAATAATAATAATGATATTAAAAATGAAATAATATCCAAAAAATCCATAAATTGCAAACGGAACAATATGATGAAACACATTGAAAGCATATCACGTGAGGAGCAAATTAAACCAGAAATTGAATTTGCAACAGCCATATTCACGTCAAACAATTCATTTTCTATAACTCAATGTGTATATTAGAAAAAATTATTTCAATTTTTAAAACCGGCATTCAAAATTCCTTCAAGATATTTATTTCATAAAAATCTGTTAAACAGTAAATATATTAAGATTAATGAATATATAAACCGAAAGATTGGATAAAAATAAACTCATTAGTGATGGGTGGACCAATTTAAGAAGGGAGTTCAATTTATTATAGCAATCCAAGCTCTGTGTTCTATCGGGGACTATTATGCATACAGATGAATTATATCCAACGATAGGAAATACCAAAATACAATAATAACAGATAATTTTTGCAAAGAATTAAAGTATCATAAAATATGTAAAATCTAATAACATTCTTTTATTGGCATTTAAGAAAAAATAACTCCTCAGAGATAAAAATTCCTTAAAGATATCTAGCCCAACTCGTTGAGCAAATATATTTGATGATAAATAGCCTTTTAAAAAAATAGAGATATTTTACAGAAAATGGCATTACATAAAGAATTTAGTCTTCCTTTGGAAATATTCTTACGAAATCTCGAAATTGGATTTTAAAAAAAATTGTTAAGGTCAAGGAAACTGGTGTTTTAAGGGTAAATCTGCATTTTAGGGGAAAAGCAAAAGAACTTCTGCAAATTACAAATTTTTGAACATGGAATCGCTTTCATCTCAAAAGAAGATAGCGAAGAAATTTTTAAAATTATGTCATATTTGTTTAGACAATATATTAATAGACTATATATATTTTCAATAAACCATGAAAAAAAATCAATATTGTTTGACCTGTAAAATATTTTTTAAGGAAATTCCCCGTTTTTTCCCCAAATTTCCCTGGAAATTTACTTATTTATAGTACCCCGGGACAAATATACCAAAATTATTCAGATATTTTTCTATCCACGAAATTATTGGCATGAACATTCTAAAAAAATGAAAATACTATTAAAATAAAAAAATAAATAATATTAAGGTGTTTCTTAAGATACAATTGTTAGTTTTATTAGAGGACAGATTCCCTGCATTTTAAACACCTACATTTATGTCAACTTTTATTTTTTAATTAATTTCTTATTTTCAAATTTTGGAGAAGTATCAAGATTATTATCGTCTTGCAGTGTAATTTCATTAATACTATCTACATCTGACTCTCGTAAATTTGCTTCTTCTCGTAAATATAATTTTAAGCTAATAAAAATTTTCCCTTAAACGCCCATCTCCCTCTCCTCTAAAAATGTATGCAATATATCACTATAAAGAAGAATTTGAAAAAATTAGTTAAAGTTAATAACATTTTAAAATAACGACTAAAACAAATTTTTAGAAAAAAAAAGCTTTTTTTAAAAAAAGATAAATAAAAACAAAGTTATTCTTATAAAATATAATATTAAAGGCCTACAATAAGTTATCATAAAGATCTCCTACAAAATTTATGGGGGTAACCCTACCTAATAGTGCCCACCCCATTAGCAAATCCTGGCTACGCCTATGGTTTGGATTTATAATACAAATCTTGGAAATATAAATTGCAATTTTAAAATTAAAATTAAATATAAAAATTATAATATATATTAATTATGAAATTATATATTAATTTTCATGTTTATAGTTATATTCATTATATTTTATAATGTAGTGCGCTAACTCTATATCTATTTTTATAGTTATATTATATTTTTTAAAAGTAGTGCGCTAACTCAATAGCTATTTGAGTTATAGCTAAAAAAGATAGCACGCTATATGACAACTCTGATATTTAGATCTTTGTTGAAATTAAGGCCAATCATAAATTTAAATCAATTTTTTAATTTTATAGTAAAAATAATTATATTCAAATAACCGCTAGGGATGACCTCCTTAAATTAAACCTCAACTAAGTCATAAAAAGCTTTTTCAATGGGTTGCTACTTAAAACAAATAATTTTGTTGGAATTATTTTTTTGTTTATATTGCCTTATGTAATAATATTAAAATTATTTATAGATTTATTAAATAACAATGCAACAATATTTATTTTAAAAATATTTGTTAATATTATATCGAAAACCTGACTTACTTTGCAATTACAATAGTGAGGTTGAGGATGCATTATTTTTTTATTATATTTAAATTTATTATTAATAAATATTATTAAAATAATATCTAAAAAAATGTAAATTTGTTTTTAACGAGCGTGCCCCGTCGATATCAAAATCGCAGGCGTGATATCCACAAATGTCAATTTCTGGGGTGGGGGGCTTAAAAAGAATGGTTACCGCCTACGCCCATTTAGCGCATGGGTCTAATTATAAATGATATAAATATAATATTAATTGAAATATAGGCTCCAAAATGATGGCTGTGGTTGGGAATATGGCTGACGCAGAATCCATGGCAGCTTTAAAAGAATTTTTTAATCGCCTAGGATCACACAATGTCTACACAGAGAGTTTATTTCCGCCAATATTTAAAAGTTATTTTTCTTTTATCACGCATTTTTGGGATAATTTTTTAAAGCTTTTATAAATATACTAGTATAGATGAGAATTTTCTTCTTACTTTTATGATAGTTGTTACCTGTTATTTGAAAATAATATCCAATTTTTATTCTTTTTACCCCTGCCCCCCCCCTTAAGGACAAGTTCTATCCATTAAAACTAATTATAAATACTATGGTTTGAGTAAAAATAAATTTAAAGCTTTACTTGATAATACCAATCTTATTTGTTAAATATTACTGATCACTACCTATAAAAAAAATCCCAGGCAAAGTAAAGCCATAATAATTTTGAAAAATTCTTCCAAGCCCAATGAAAGATCATAATAATTTTGGTAGTTGAGAACTGAAATAAAATATTTAAATAATCATTATGAATTTAAAAATACAATCAAAATCAGATTTTCATGGGCCTTAGTTTTTTGATCAGGCCGAGCCCAGACCTGCAAAAATTATGTTTTAGGCCTAGTTAATAATAAAAAAAATTCTCAAGCGTCCAAGCTCATAATAATTTTGAAATATTTTCCCCAAGCCCAGCCCAATATAATTTATAAAAATAGTTTCCAAGCCCAGCCCAACCCATAATAATTTTATAAAAAAATTTTCTCAAGCCTGGCCAACCCTTAGTATTTTTCAAAATTTTTTCCCAAACCTGAGGTAAATCTCTAAAAACCATATCTATTTTTTATTCTATTTTAACCCAGCTCATCCCTACTTTAGACCAAGGCCAACCTATTAAGACTAAGAGTGAATTCTATTTTTTTGAATGAAAATATATTTAATTTACCTGAGGGCCATATAAATATTCTGTGTTAAATATTACACCTATGCCTAATGTTAAAAAAATTCCCAAGCCAGGTACACGTACTTGGGAAAATTTTCTCAAACCCGCCAAAGACAATAATAATTTTGATAGTTGAGAACTGAAATGAAATATATAAAAAGTCATTAAAAATACAATCAGAATATGAATGCATGGGCCTTGGTTTTTGATCAGGCCTGGCCATGTCTTCAAAAGAAATTTTCAGGCCAATTTCTAGCCCATATTTAAAATTAAAAAATTTTTAGGAATCTAAGACTATATTAATTTTAAATTATGTTTCCCAAGCTACGTCCAAGTCCATGTTAATTGTGAAAAATATTTCCCAAGCCCAGGAAAACCCAGAATAATTTATTTTTTCCTTGGATCCAGAAAAATAGGTCTGATGTAAGGGGTTTATAAGAATTAAATCTGTCTAATATGTACATATTTCTTTTGCCATTTTATATTATTGGGAAAATTTTTCAAAATTATCATCAAATGAAGGAAAAATATCTGATCATTCTACTGGTTACTCCTGGTATTTATATGAAATTCATGAATAGATATTAAAGTACCATGCTGAAAATATGTTGATCCTAATTTAAATTTTAAACAAACCACCACCCTTCCAAATGATTTATTATACAAAATTTAAATTTAAGACTCTTATTTTCTGGAAGTTCAATATAATATTCGGAGGAATAATAAGAATCAGGTTTATTTTATCAAAGAATCCCATTATATATTATAATAAATTCATGAACCAAGTTTATTTTATTAAAGAATCAAATTTATTTTTCACTAAAAATACAAAAAAATTCGTTGTTTATAATTTAATTTAAATTATCACTGAAGGTAACAAAATAACCTTTCGAAATAAATTTAATTTGTATATGACATTAACAATTAGAATTTGTATAGTTCAATTTCATTAACAGAAAAACGAAAAACAATTTAGAATTTATATGTCATTACCAAAACAAACAAAAAACAGATAGTTTAAAGGAGAATAAAAAAACAATTACAACTACTTAACAAAGACTTTGTTATTAAATTACAATAGAAAAAATAAAAAGATATTCTAAGTTAACAAATAATAGGAGGTTAACTTTAATCATAGTCAAATTGTATATAAGTAAAACAAAAAGGTTATACATTTAATCAAAAATGTTATAATAAGTTATGAAAAACATACATTCTACAAATAAATTATGAAGTTATGAGAACAAAACTATGGAATGCATGTAGAAAGGCCAAATCAGAAAAGATAAGAGAGATGCAAATATTTACTTATGCATAAAAATTACCTAATTAAAAGATATATAGTTAAATATCAATGTGGAATGAATCCTTCTGGTTTTAAAAAACTCTCATCTAGCAAAAATAAATTTTTAGATTATAAATTACAAATACAAATGAATAAAAATTTAGTTTAAAATTTTTTTTAATTGTGCACATAAATTAAAATTACTAAATATATACTTCATTAACATATTTTATAAAAATAATGGGAAATTTTAGAATAACCCCAAATAAATATAAATTTTTAAATAACACCTCATAAGATAGGAAAATTTCTGATTCATCCCTCATCAAATAAAGATCCCCAATATACTGGTAAATTTTAAATTATACATAAATTCAAGAATTAAAATAGTATTTAAAATCTCTTATTCCTCTTGAATTGGTACTTGATGCATAATATTCAGGAATAGGTATAATATTAGGTGTATATTCAATGCATTTAATTATCTTTTGCAGGAATCTAAAATTATAATTAAATTAATTTAACTTCCATTGCCTATGAGTTATTTAAAATCCTCAAAAAAACTTTTTTAATATATATGTATTTATGTAAAATTGTATAGTGTATTATTAATATATATCTATAATATATTAGTTAGTTCTAGTATTATTTACACAAATTTTTTATAGTATCAATTTGTAATATACTAAATATCTGTTTAGAATTAAAATAAAATAAAATATGTAGTATTGTTGTTAAACGGCTCGTTTTGAGCTGATTTTAAAAATAACTAACTCACTTATTTATCCAGAAAAATATTATGCAAGCCTGAAAATTTTGCTCATAGAAGGAGCAAAGGTCTAGACATATAGTATCGAGATTTCGAGGCTTAGTCAATATTTTTCTAGCGAAAATATTGAGTTAGCCGTTTTTAAAAATCGGTTCAGAACGAGTCGTTTAACGACATTAGCTAATATGCTTGCTTATTAAATTATAATACTCGCCTATAAATATGATAAAATACCAAATAGATTTTTTTTTGTATATACCAGGTCGAATTTAATTTTTTTAAATTCCGAGCCGGGCCTAAAAATTTTTTTTAAACCAGCCGGGCAGGGCCCCAAAAATTTTTTTTAAATATTCGGGCCAGGCTTAAAATTTTTAAACCCGGGCCGGGCTGTAAAAAATTTTTGAAAAAAAAATCCGGGCCGGGCAGAAAATTTTTATCCGGGCCAGGCCGTGCAAATGGTACCTCTGCAGGTCTCTGATATATATATGATGATGTATAAGATGGTAATGGAAGATGAATGAATGTTTGATATGATATGATTCTAAGGTGATTTTTATTGGACGTATATTTTTTAAAAGAATATTAAAAATTTTAAAATATAAGAATACCTATTTAATAGTTTGAATTTTAAAGTAGCTACAAACTTTGAATCGTATCTTCTATTTGATTAATTTTGCCAGATTAAGAAAAAAAAAACTTATTTTGCCAGATTAAGAAAAAAAAATCTTTCCTTGGATTCGAACCTAAGTCCATCAGATTTGTAAGCGACGTTCTTGCCGATTGGGCCACATACACTTTATATATTATAAATTGTGAAAGTGTGACAAACTTTTTTATATATTATAGATAAAAATCATGTGAATAAATCTATTTAAGATAATCGAGCCTCTTACATAATGAATAACGGGATAGCATCGATCGAAGATGCGGACTTGATAATGATAATCGGATGTAATCCCCGTCTTGAAGCTCCATTGGTTAACGCTAGAATCAGGAAGGCTTGGCTACACAACGAAGCTGACGTGGCTTATTTAGGCGATCCAGTTTATATAATTTTTTTAAATCTATCTTTTATTGATATCAATATAATGCTAGTTATAGAATAATGGATCCTAAATGTATTTGAGTAACAATTTTAAAATAATTATTTAGTGTAAGGCGTATGTCAATTATATTATTGCTTTATAATTTATAAATTTATTTAAAACGATTCAGGTTAACTTATCTTATGATTACATTCATTTGGGGAAAAGTTTGAAAGATTTTATCAACCTAACATCAAATAAAGCAAATATTTCTTTTCGACAAAAAATTGCAAAATCAAAAAAGCCTATGTTAATATTAGGCTATACAATGTTAAAGGTTTGGTTTTTTGCATTTTGAATTTTAACTTTATAAATTTTTTAATAGAAGACCGAAGGAGAAAATATTCTTAAACTTGGCCTTAAGTTTAGTCACGAACTTCAAAATAATATTAAAAAAGATGCTACAGTAAATTATAATTGGAAAGTTTTCAACGTTCTTCATACTACTGCTAATTTGGTAATGTTGTCGAATCTTATTAATTTGAAATAATTCATAACCATGATTAATTTCATAAAATAAATGCATGTTTTATTAAACCTGTGCGCCGATAAAACTATAAGTTAAAGATTAAATTGGGTCCGATGTCAATTCAAATTTTAGCCACTTTCATTTGGTGGATTATTTATATAAATTTTTCCAAATTGCTTAAAATTGAATTATTTTTTTTAATGAAGATCTAATAATATTAATTTAAGAAAAAATATACAGAAATACCGATAAATTTTTAAATTCATATTGAAAACAAATTTGAAATCTTTTCCTTCTAAAAATTAAGGGTATATCTCGTGGTCGCGGGTAGCAGATATTGCGAATAACATGACCTTTTTGTTACAATTCATTCGAAATCAAATTATAAATTTCTGATGAATGTTTATTAACTAAATTTGTTAGTTTTTTATCTCATCTTGGCTTTCATTATCAATATTTACTAATTTAAATTTAAAAAATTGATGTATATAATAAAATTTAACAGTGTACATTTTTCTTTCATAAATACCTTGCAAATGGATTTCAGAATATGTGACAATAATATTAATATTTGTTTGTCATGATTTATGAAATAATTTTATTATCTCATAAGGAATTTCCAAATGAAGTATTATTTTAATACTAATCATAACAATTAGAGATATGCATCGTCTTTTTGGCCCGAGTACATTTTCAGCCCGGCAAGTTTTTTAAGATCTAGGTGTGGCCTATAACCCGAATTTTTACAAATCATGGTCAATTTCTCACGTATTTTATCCTCTATTTTAATGGTATAAATTATTTATTTATTCAGCATCAACCTTGATAATTTATGGATGATTATCTATTTATTATAATTATGATATTCGAAGGGAGCATAACCAGGAATTTTTTACGGGGGTGGATGATAATTTTTTTGGAACATTAAAAATTTATTAGAACCAATCTTCAGCGTTTAAGCCCCTTTCTCTTTGTACTCATCCTACTAAACCGAGGACATAGAGATTAGCACCATGGTCAATGTTATATGCAGACATCGATTCGAGGAACCGATATGATGGCAATCCATTGGGCTGGTTGTGCAATTAGGTTGGAGAAATATGCCTTCCGCCTTAAATTTTTAAAGACAGTATATCTAGGAACAACCGTTTCAGGTCGGTGTCAAGAAACTATGCATTTTCCACCATACCCAAAAGTTGATCTTTTTAGCTTGGGTCTACAATACATCAAGATGGAGGTAGTTATGACGAGGTCTACTATAGGATATAGAAGGCTTGGATAAAATGGAGAAGCAAATCGGGGGTACTTTGTGACAGGAAGATGCTACTGTAGCAGGCCTGTCAAACTATATTTAGACTGGTCCTGTTACATGTATGTGAGGGCATTTCTAGCTCCCGAGAAGAAGGTATTGAACGAATCTGATAATTTAAAAGTTAATCAAAGTATCGTTCATATATTTTATTTAAAATTTAACCTTCTTTGCAATTGCACCAATATTTTAATAATTTATTCTGTATTGGAGATTAAATCTCGGTATATATTAAGTAAAGCTAGTTCATTCAATCGATTTTAACATGTCGTATTTTTGAGATAGGTTTTTATTCTCCGCAATGAAGAAAAGGTCCTATCATTTGTGCTTGTAATAATTGTATTGTTGCCAAAATAGTAATTTAATATATTTAGAGAAAACCCCAAAATTTAATTTAAAGTTTGCAATGCCATTGCTTTTATTGGAGGATTATCTACTAAAATATCTTTCATACTAATATTTTAATTAAATTATTTGGCCTTCAAATACATTTATATCTTCTGAATAAAATTTTGCTATTTATTTAATTTTTTTCAAAATCAATATTTAATATATACTCAGAAAAATTAATAGAGTATTTGTAAATTGGATATTTGATGAATAACAAATCGTTCATTGATTTAAGTCAAAAAATATCCAAAAGTGGGAAAAACGGTTATTTTATAGTATACCTCAACGATTTGTTTTTCTAGGTGCGAGTTGATTCTTGCGAATTCAAAATCATATAATTTCGCTTTTGTTTCAACAATCACATAATTCTTGGGTTATTATCTCTTTTTCTAAGTTATAATATAATAATATTCGTGATTCTCATAGCCTCACCTAATCCATTTCATTTTTTTGAAAATATTGGATAAAATTTTGTGTAATTAAATAATTTATTAATACATTCCAATGCGAAAAACATCAGCTATTGAATCTAAAAATTTATCCGCTTTAGTTGAAATTCCGATATTTTTTTAAGGGTACTAAAAATAGACCCTTTTAGATCCAAAAATATTGTAACATCTTGATGTTGAAGGCTCCATCTTGTCTGACATACCTATTTGCAGCTTCCTTCTTTGTCGCGCAAAAAGTCTTATAAATACTTTTATTTAGCAAATTCCGTCTCTTTGGATATTTGAACATGTTATACAACCTTTTATTTATTTTCAACTCCTCCCCCGCTCGATACACGCCGGATATTCAATCGAAAAAGAAAGAATATGAAGAAAATTTAATACTAATATTTTCTCAGCCCACGCCTCTATGAGTCATTTCTTGACAAATAAACTAAAAAGGCGATACTTTTGACCATTATAACTGAAAATGAATGAAACTACATATGATCTAACTTAAATAATTTTAATATTTTTAAAGCTTTAGCTCAAATGGATCCTAAATATGGGGTCTCAAAGTCCAATACAGTTGCGCTCTCGTTTTTAATCTCAAATTACTAAATAAATATTTGGTTCAATTTATCATTTTATAACTCTCTTTTTAAGAAATAATAAAAATATTTTTACAATGTCGACGTATTTCCGGTAAATGATTTATTTTGAGCTAGCCCCACTTTGGGACGATGAAACTCACTAGATATATTAAATAAGAATTAGAATAGAGGAAATAAGAATTTAAATGTTATTTGGTTTTTATAATTTTTGCATTAAACAAATATGGCGTTTTCTTTTTAAATATTATTTTATATTAAATAAGGTTAAATATAACAGAATGCATGCAGAGATATTTATTTTATCCTCGATGTCGCCCTGATTTAAAAAAAGTCTTTATTATTAAGCCCGGTTAGACCCAGATTTTAAAAATTAATATTTTTGGTCCTATCCTCTCAAGGAATATTATTGATGTTTAAATTGAAAAAGGCTGAAAAAGAAGGTTTTTTAAAAATTTATAATAAGCGCTCTACTTTTATCATCATCCAAAATATAGACAATTGTAGCTGTAACTTGTATCAAGTCTACACATAATAGATAGACAAAAAATAAATGTACATATAATGATTATTTATAATATAAAATGCCTATTTTTTTATAAAAAAATTACATTAAAATTATTTCTTAATGCGCCCCTCTGCTTTTGGTTTTTTTATTCTTAAAATACATATCTGGTGAGGTTTATCGTCTAGCTAGTTCAAAAAATCCTTTTTATTTTACCGGAAATACATCGGCACTGTAAATATTTTTATATTTTCATTAAGAGGATAATTAAAGCTACAAAATGATATATAATCTATATATTTGAACCAAATATTTATAGAGTCATTTAAAAGCAGAAATTACGCCTGCGTTCTGAGAACTCATAACTTCATATCCTTTAGTTCTAGAGCATTAAAATTTTGATTTATATAAATTTTACATTTTTAACTAACATAAGTTTCATTAATTTTTAAAAAAGGTCATACAAATCGTTAGTCAATTTGACGAATCACCCATATTCTATTGTTGATGTTAGGGCGGGCCTCGCAGGATTCTAACAATATTAAAAATTATTTATGGAATATTTATTAAATACAGATATACTAACACAAAATCCATTTTAGAATAAAATAATTAAAAAATAAAAGTTTAAATATATAATCTTATTTAATTTTTTGGCCTGACTGTATCAATCGACGGCGTTCGGCATGCTCAAAAATAAACTGATCGGCGTACAGGATTACGTTAAGTTTTTTTATTCAGTGATTATAATAACCTTAAATTTGTAAAGGTAGGAGCTTTAGACTTAGGCATAGAAACGAGAGATTGTGTTAAGGCCTTCAATGAATTCGTACCCGAATTAATTTACTTAGTCGGAACCGATGACAATACTCATTTATTACGAAGTATACAGCAATATAAAGAGACCGGTGGCCAAACATTCGTCGTTTATCAAGGACATCACGGAGATCGGGCCGCTTCGCTGGCCGACATTATATTACCTGGTAAATTTTTAAAAAAATAAAATACACAAAAATATTTGAATTATTTTTAAAAATGATAAACTTTCAATTAAAAAATAAATCCTATTTTTGGAAAAAATATTTTAATTTCAATTATAAAAATGAGGCATTTTTTTTCTTTTTCTTAGCACAATTAATAGATTTAGTTATTTCTTCTTATTCCTTAAATCTATATTTATTCAAATAGGCCTAAAGAAAATTTATAATTTTTTCACTATCATTAAAGGGGCAGCTTATACCGAAAAATACGGTACGTATGTTAATACTGAAGGTCGTTCTCAATACACTCAGCAAGCGGTTAGTGTCCCAGGAAAAGCCAGGGAAGATTGGAAAATCATTAGGGCTCTGTCACAATTTGTTAACGAGATGAAAACTGTTACTACGCTAAGAAGTTTGGATCCACTTGTTTTACCTAATCTTAACGTTTTAACCTACTTAAAAGATAACTTTAAAGATATTAGCCATGATGAGAGCCTTGCCAACACTAATTTCAGGTTATATATTAATACTTATATTAGAATTATCACAATTGAACAAAGATTTATCTGGAAGGACTACGTTCATCATTTGAAGGCTTATATATGTATAAATTAGATTTATATGAAAATTTATCAAACCTTATATTTAAATTTTAAAATACATCAGAAAATATTAGAATAAAGATAGATAGAAGGAAATAAGAAAAAAAGCAATATTCATTATTTATCTTGTTTATACAAAATAATCTATTATATATTTTCTTAAAAATTAGTTCTGACTTTAAGCCAAAATATACACTTCCTTACGATGATCTTTTAAAGGCCAGACATTTAATGAATAAAATTGCCCATTCACAGCATCTCACAAATTACGGGGTTTTAAATGCAAAATTTTACGATGACAATTATAACAGACTTATGAGTCACGTTGCTATGCTGAATATTGAGGATATTGTTAAAAATGTAAAATAAACAATATTTCTATTTATTAAGTATTTTATTGCCAACTGTTATTTTGCTTTTTATAAGGAATATTGCAAATATTAGAATCGGTACCAGAATGGCGCCGGATCTTAATTATGGTTATTAATATAATCGGACTATTTTTTTATATTTCGCACTTGTTTAATTGCTTTGTTTAAAATTTTAATATGAAATTAATGCACTAGCACAAAAAGGCCGAATCTTATTTTTAAATTTGTTTTCGATAAATTTTTAACGTTATACAGGGTTTCTCATTCTAAAACGAAAAATGTCCGATCGATAAAGGAAAAGATTCAATCTATAAGGAAAAGATTCGATCGATAAGAGAAAGGTATTAAGGGTCAATCGAAGAAGGAAAGGATGTAAAAAGGGAAAAGTCCCATATGAAAAAAAAATTTCTATGAAAATATAATTCGTTATTTATCTTATTTTTTTGGATATAAAATTTAGTATTTTCATTATTTTTCTTGAATGATCTTATTGTTTCTTCATTTTGATCAATCTTTTCTTTTATTGTCCTGGATCTATTTCTCAATATATTTTTTCCCTGTCATTTTGTCATTATCTATTTCCCTATTTTCATCTTTGAATTTTTTAACAATTTCTCTATTTATTTTCATTTTTTTAAAATATCTCTTTATTTCTCTCTATTTTTTAAACTAAATTTAGAGGGTACGTCCAAACTCTACTTATTTTAACCTCACTTGGTCCATAGGACACAAACGTTAAATTGTGTAAACCTTTATCATTATTTTTTAATTTGGACTTATGTATCCTTATTCTATTTTTACTATTTTTCTTTGATCTTCCTATTTATTTTATCACTATTTTTGTATGCTCTATAATCTAATATTATTATTTTTATCCTGCAATGTTTCATTTTATTTTTTATTATATCTATTTAAAAAAAATATTTTTTTAACTTTACATAATTTCTCATATCCTATTTTTTCTCCAGTAGCGCCCTTCTTTGCTACTTTTTTAAGTTAGTAGCGTACTACCGCTATTGCCATTTTTTTAATTAGTAGCGCGCTTAAGCTACGCTACTGGAAAACCTGAATCTCTCTAACAAACAATTAAGAGTAGCCTCAGGATAAAGACTCGGAAGTGACCTAGTTCAATCTCATCAATACTTGAACCACATCTAGTAAATTCCAAGGGAAGACATGGCCTTAATTGCATTGAAATCCAGCGGCATCATAGCCATTCTTCGATAAATAAATTATTAAGCCTCGTTTTAAAGAAGTTCTCATATTTATTCGAGAACCGTGCAATCTTTCAACAGATGATGGCCTAAGGCCTGACCAATATCCTCTGGACCATGGGCAAATCTCTTATTTGGGATTATACATGTATTTCATTCTTACTCGCTAATATAAATAAATAGCAACTTGTTTACTCTAGCAGAGGCCAAAAAAATAAACAAATATAAAAATCTCTGCAATTTTAGATTCTTGCAAATTGTAACTTTCACCTACGAGCAGTTTATGATGCCTATCACTTTCTTTTCTTTTTTTTAAATATAGCACAGATTAAAATTAGAAACACTTGAACCTAAGGAATTATTCCTTAGGCAGAACATAAAATTAATTTTTTTAAATTTAACTATTACTTTTTTTTGGAATACAATTATGTTTTCTTAAAATTATTTTTATATTATTTTGGTTTGTTAATATTTTTATATATCATGCAATGTTATTTAGTTTTATACAACATATTCTTTAATATTAGAAACAAATAAATTTTTAATTTTCAAAAAAATGGATAGGAGGTAAAAATCATATAATTAATATATATTAGAAAAGCGGCCCAGCTTGCCAGAGTTGTTAAAGTAGCGAGCTACTTTTTTTGGTAGCTATAGCTATTAACGCGCTACTTTTTAAAAAATTATTTATTTTTTTTAGCATGTTACTTTTTTTGCTTTTTAAAAATATAACTATAAACATGAAAATTTAAATATAATATCATAATTAATTATAATTTTTATGATTTATTATTTAATTTTGAAATTGAAATATATTTTCAATTTTGTATTATAAACCTAAATCACGTGTAAATTATTTAAAATGTCATCGCAAATGGATAACCAAATCGTTGAAAGTGAGTCAGACGATGATAATGAAATGGAAGATACCCGGGAAGAAAATGTTCTGAATAACAATAATACAAATTTCCCATTTCCAAAATTTGAAAAATATTTTAAAATTAATATAACCAAAACTGGCTACAAGTTTATTTGTTTAAAATGTAATATATATTCTCAGATAATCCAGTAGCTTTAATCTCAAAAAACACCAAAAGAAAATTATCATTTTTAAATTCTAATATACAGTTCAGCCAATGTCCTTGGTTGATAATCCATCATTTAACATAATGATTAAATCTCTATCCCCTGGTACAACAATTTTATATCGTCAGACACAAATGAATAAGATAGCAGATAACTTTAAAGTGATGAAAAATTAATTCTTAGTCATCAGAGATGATCATGCCATAATCTAAATTTGATAGCAACTGTGGATGCTGAAGGAGCCTTAAAAAATGAAGATTTTAAAAGGGTATCAAGATCCACTTTTTATAAATGTTAAACTCTATGGAATATGCAGAACAAATCTTTTAAAGGCTCAGACATATTTTAAAATATTAGGCAGATATTTATTAACTCCTAACCCCACTAGATGGAACACTGTATACCATACAATCAAATTAAGTATTTTTTTGGATGAAAGAAAATTAGAAATGAATTTTCTCTGTGGTCATATTGGAATTCAATATATTAACGATGAAGAACTCTTATAAAAGAGTGTATAGAAGTAATTCTAATTCATAATTATTCAATTTCATATTTAAATTTTTTTAGATTATGTAATATGTAACTCTTTCCCTTGAAATTTTGGAAGGGGATAATATGGAGATGGGGTATTATGTTCCTACTTAAAATATCCTAATTACAAGGATTGAATAATCTAATCTTATGCCAGCCCCTAGTAGACTCTATGTTAAAGGCATTGAGAGAAGGTAAATAAAATTTATATTGTTTTGATTTTAACTGAATAATTTATTCTAACTTAAAGTTAAAAGCTAAAAATTTATAAAATTTTATGATTAAGATATATTTTAAATATACTATTTTTGTAACTTTTAGATTCCCCAACCTATACAATGATGATAATGTATTAGCTGCAATGATTTATCCCAATTTTTAAATTATGATTAGGCCTACAAAAAAACGAAACGAATAATACTATTATTCGTATTTGATTCGAAATTTAGATTCGAATATTAGTGTTATTCATATTATTATTCGATTCGTCGAATATTTGATTCGATTCGGAAATTATTCTAAAGCTTATAAAAAATAGATTATATTTTGCAAAAATAATTATAAACAGATGTGGATGTTTTGAAATGACACTTTAACTAAAAAAAACTAAACTAATTGTCATTAGCATATCAAAATTTACAGAAAATAAGCGAAATAAAACCCAATAATTTTATAAACGTTATCCAAACAAATTGGCCAAAATCACCTGATTTTTAGAATTAGAATTGCTTATAAAAATATCTAAATTCTTTGCTATACATTATTTCTCCAATCTAATATTCCAAATTTTATTAAAATTTTCTTTTATAATCAAAATATAATACATAAAAAATACAATTATGCTAGATCTGAATTTGATAATAACCAGTTTTTTAAGCATAAAGTCTTTCTTATGGTTTCTTCCTTCAAAAACATTCTATTTCTCGTTATCATATTTGCCCCACTGAAAATAACCGCTCACATGAAGCTGAAGATCCTTGAATGGACAATATATCAATTGCCATTTTCGACAACACGGGAAAACGATCCCCATGCAATCTCCACCATTCTAGGGGGCTCTTATTAGAAGTTATTCTTTATTCATTAAGATAAGTTTCAACCTCGCATATTGGTAAGATGATATTTTGTTAAAGATTCTATCCATATTTGACTGTATTATTGCGTTGTCTGATGTTGTATTTATATTGTATTTCACTTTGTATTCATTGTATACATCCTTAAATATTTGTAATAGATTTATTGTATCTATTTTATATGATGTTGGTAATTGTTAAAAAAATTCTAATTTTAGTCTTGGATCTAATATCGTTGATATTATTGTTTCGATATTTGTTAAGTTGTAATAGTTCTATTTTCTCAATCGCATTGAGGGTGTTTATAAAAGTGTGGTCAAATGAGTTTAAATGTTCGATTAACGAAACATAAAATGGGATCACATGATTAAGGTGGGATATGTGTCACCACAGATACCTTCAGTAAAATCAAAAAAAGTCTTTAATTTTTCTTGTATATTTATCAAAGACATCCAATCATCCTGGTAAAAAATTAAAATTAGTAAATAAACCAATTAAAATATTTCACTCAGTTGTCTTTCTTCTATATCAGATATATCATCATATATCTGAGTCACAACTTCATCAATGGCCCTTCTCATTTTGATAGCTCTTTCGACCATTATATAGGAGCTATTCCATCTGATGGATGTGTCTAATTTTAATTTAAGATATTTCATCGGGGGAAGTAAGGAAGCGCATACATTTTTCATAATATTTGTTTTTATAAAAGAATTACGTATAGCTTTAATGAGTGTTCTTAATTTTGTTAATTGACTGTCTACTTTCTTAAGTATTTCTTGACGATTTACGAATATTAACGAAAAAATAAAATATTTACAAAAAATTATGAATATTAACGAATATTTATAAATAATTTCGAATAATACGAATATTTACAAATAATACGAATAATTTCGAATATTTAGGAATAATTTTGAATAACACGAATAATTTCAAATCGAATAACAAAAATTACTATTCGACGAATACTTTTTCTAAATATTCATTTGTGATATTCGTATTCGTAAAATACGAATCGAATTTCGAATAACAAATAATTCGTTTTAGGCGTAATTATGATGATGCTAAAGATCAACGTAATAAGCACATGGTAAAATTGAATAGTCTAATACTAAACAAAGATGGCCTAGTTACAACTACAAAAATGACTTCCACTGATAATTTTTTTGAATAAATAATATAATAGAAAATCCCCTCGACGCGTTTTTTAAATCTAAAAATACTCAAATGAGTATTTTTGATAATCTTTCTTATATTAATAATAGGTATATAAAATTAAATATCTTTAGTGTTGAGAGATTATTAGATTATTTAGTAAGGCGAAACTTATACTTTCTGATCGTCGCTCTAGACTTGGGGATGATAATATTGAAATGATTTTATTATTAAAATGCAACTGAATAAATAAAAAATGAATATTACCATAAATACTTATTTTTATTTCATAAATTTTTTTATAATCATAACTAATGTTGATTTTTTTATATTATTACTATACAATTACATTGTAAGCATAAAATTGTTTCTAAATTTTTTTTATAGAAAGTATCTTAAGGAGTAATTGCGCGCTACCTTTTTTGATGGGTAGCGATAGTGGTAGCGCGCTACTTTTTTTGACAGATAGCGTTAGCGGTAGCGCTTGCAATAGTGGTCATTATTATATTGGAAAAATATGACAATATTTGGCCATAAGCTTTAAATAAATATTGAATTGAAAGAACACAAAATATATTGAACAAAATAATATAAAAATTTTGTAGTTTAATATATTTTATTAATAATATAATTTTTATTTTTTATATTTCATTATTTTTATGCAAAAGTTAAATTTAGTTAAAACCATATATAGATAGGAAATTATGTAAATCTAAATATTAAATATAAAAGACTGATTATATGTTCACATACAATTTCATCAGTATTTACAGAAAATATTTTAATAAAATTATTAGAGGGATATAATTATATAAACAAAAAATTCAATTTGAAATCCTAAAGGGGAACTACAAATGTTTCTTCGAAACACTCCCATTTCCCTCCTAGTTCATCAAATATAGTTATTTACAATAAATTTTTAATATAATCTTGTATAAAATTTCCACATTTTATAATTTATTTTATTATATATTTTATTTTATATATTTTTTTTTATATACTTGATATAATTATTTTTTTTTATTTAAAAATCATTTTAATAAATTATTTATATCGATATCTATTTTAATTTTAACGATTGTACTTGAAAATTAAAAAAATTGATATAGATTTAATTTATAAATTTTAATTATTTTATTTTATTTTTTTTGTAATTTTAATTTTATAAAACATATAAATGTATTTTATATTTAATTATAAAATTTTTTATTTTATTTTTTTTCCAATTATATGTACATATCATATTTCTTCAAAATTTGCTTTTAAAATATAGTGGGTATAAACTGTTATAGAATAAACATGTAATTTATTTTGATAATTATAAGATATTCATTATCATTAAATAAATTCTTTTTTTTTATCTTTAAGCTCTCTAAATCATCAGATTATACTTTAACGCCAGCTATGTATACGCTTAAAGATTTTTATATGACGGACGCTATATCCCGTGCTTCTGTTACTATGGCCAAGTGTGTTAAAGCAGCTTCCGAAGCAGAAGGCACTCGATATTTTACTCAACAAGAAACACATGCTCTTTCAATTTAATTTTCCTTATTAATTTTATTAGTCATATTTATTTAATTAAAATAATCAATTAATATTTTCTGTAACATAGTATTCTTATATTTTAATAAAATTTTGCAACGCACATATTATAATATTTGCTGGGTATGTTTTAAAATAAATCTTAAATTTTGACGAATAAGAATCAATGCATTATAAAATGTTTAACAATATGTAACTTTTGACGGGTGTTATAATAATCGAATGGACAGTATTGGTGTAAATTCGGATAAGCCTCACAAGGCAAATCTAAAAGTCTACTCTTAAAATTACCTATAAATATTCTGAGGTGCGAACTGAATAATTGACTTATGAATACCACGAGTCACTTCATCTAATACTCTTAGTCGAGGGCCTCTTGTGCAATATAAACTGAATAGGCTAATACTGAGGCATAAGCCGAGAATTGGCTTACGCTCTGAGACACAAATCTAATTAATAATATATAAAATTCTATACTTAATATAAAAAACCAAGAATTAGTTACAGTAAACGAAATCTCAGAAGTGTTTTTATAATTTACATATTTTTGTAAATTTAGGGATATATAATTCACACTGCCTTGGAAAATCCCATTATTTGCTCCTATATATTTCAATATAATCGACATTTTATATCAAAGTCATTGTATAAAGAACTTTCTGATGTGCATGGATTTTCACTATAATTACCTTATTTATGAATCAATATAATATTATCTACCAATGAAAGAGTTAATACATTAGGAGACATGGGGAAAATAGTTTAAAAAAATTAACTATGATCTGATTTGATACTTTGTTAAATAAAAATTTTATGATACTTGTATCAATTATTAGTGATGACAAAAATCATTATTTCTTGAGAATCTTACTTATAAACAAAGACACATTCCGCTCATTTATAAATCTTAATTTTTGTATGGTTTGGTTAGTAAAATAATAAAAGTCAATTGCTGCTCTAGAAATGAAGTTCACGTTTCATCACCGCAGTTTTAAGAGTATGACTAAATACTGCATTGCTAAAAAGCAATTAATCATAATCAAGCAAAATTTTATTATATAATCTTTTTTTAAAAATAATTTCCAGAAACATTTTTTAAATCAATTTTTTATTAAATAAAAAATTGAGATTAAATATCAAATAATTTATGATTCTATTTTTATTTAATATTAATGGAAAAAATATATTTACTAGCTTATTACAAGTCAAATTTATTTTAAAATTTAACATATATATTCATAAGAGGGCATTTAATGCATAAATATGAAAATATCATCTTAGAAAACCAGAATGATTATTGGTTAGCGCATTTTTCATATTTGGGTTAAATACATGTGGAAAACCTAAAATTAAAAAAAAAGATAGGTTTCTTTGACATTTTATTTATAAGTAGATTTAGAATCGAAAAATAATAGAAAACTTGTAAGGCATATATTGCTGGCGTTATTGATCAAAATCTCTTCATTTTTGGTTTATTTTTTGAAGTATTAAAGATTAGATATGCCAATTGGTCTTTTCTAACAATATTCACCTCTATCCGTGCTTTATTTCTTATTATTTTGACTAATTAACAAATGAACGATACACAGCGTCTACATGACATGATATTCACTTAATGCAAACCTCAAAAACCTATACCTATCCCCCTAAAAAAAATTTGCCGTCTTTTAATTATAATGGTACTCCCATTTTAAAAAGAATAACTTAAATTATTAATGCTCTATCACCAACTATAAAAATATTGTAAATGTGAAGGAGTTAATTTTTAGAACTTGAAAAACTCCCGCATATTTGCAGTGAATGCATTTAGTATATTGATTTTCATGAATTTAAATTTACTGATAGAAATTATCCAGAAATAGTTTTTTTGGAAAATAATATCTATGATTGTGCAATATATAGGTTTGGTCGATGTTTAGCAATATTGTATTATATTAGGTCTATAATAAAAGTATTAATTTTTAGAACAATACATTTTGCCATATTTAAAAGATGACCCCCCCCCCCACCAATAAATTTATCCTATCCTCCCCCGGGCTCATGTAGATGCTTACGATACATAGTAATCTATATTCTTTAAATTAGATTCTATATCTATTCCTAAAAATCCTAACGTTTATAAGCTTGCCACATTTGTCAACAGAACAATATTAGTCTCGATTCTTTATATGATATGAATGATATACTAATTATTTTGTATAATATATAATTTTTTATTTCTTATTTTTTTCTGTTTTATTTTTCCTAATAAAAATTTATATTCTCGAACAATATCTTGCACTATTCGTGATTCACTTCTGATTATTTTGCATAACTGACGAAATGACTATGCAGTTCGTTTATTTTTAAAAATAATATTTTATATCTATTCTTATAGATCATATATTTTTGAAGTTACCAATTTGTTTCTCAGAATAATATCTCCTACTATTCATGATTTACTTCTGATTGTTTTCCATAATTGATCAAAAGACGATATATATTAATATATTTTATCCAAAATAAATTTTATATCCTTAAAGAAATTCTACCCTTTTTTTAAGTTTGACAAGATGTAGTATGCTATTTTTATTTAAGTTAGATTTTATATCTATTCTCATGGACTGTACTTTTTTGAAGTTTGCCAATTGGTCTCCTCGAATAATACCCCCTACTAGTGTTGTTAAACGGCTCATTTTGAGCCGATTTTTTAAAACGGCTAACTCAATATTTTAGCCAGAAAAATACTCCCTAAGTCTCGAGATTTCGATAATATATGCCTAGACCTTTGTTCCTTCTATGACAAAATCTTGAGGCTTGCGTAATATTTTTCTGGACGAAATATTGAGTTATCCGTTTTTAAAAATCCGATCAAAACGAGCCAATTAACAACACTACCCCCTACTATCCATGATTCAATTCTGATTATTTTGCATGAGCAAAATACAGAATACGCTGTTTTTATAAAAAATAATATCATATTTCTTCGCCTACTTTTTTGAAATTGATAATTTGTTTTCTCGAACAATATACATAGACATGTGCGCTGACAGCATTTTCGGCGGGGGCGTTTCTATCCGCTGGCGGTACCAAATCGATTTAGACCCCGCCACAAAAATCGGCAGCGACGCGGCCGCGTCAAATATTTTTCTAACTAAAATTTTTTAATCAAAATTATAAATATATTTTATTATGTTAATAACTATAATTTATTTTATTAAGTTATAATTATCATGTATAAATATTATTTTATTTAGATTTATAGGACATAATAATGATCTTTTAGAGTTCAGAGTGATCCCAGCTATGGAAAATACACGCTCGCTGGGTGTGCTCATACCTGGAACGCACAGGACCTTTCTAGCTAATATTGAAAGTTTAGGAAGATCCAATGCTCTTATCTTCCAAAAATCCTAGACAGCTTTTATCTCTAAATTATAAGGCGAAAATAATGAATAACACTCTTTTTCTAAACTAGTTAAATAGTCTTGTTGTTTCAGGTTATTGTTATGAATAGTTTATTCGTAGCCAATGACTTAGGATAATCGAGTTTTGAAGCAACTTCCGTCGTTTCACATTCGTTTAATTCATGCGTGTAAGGCCTTAGAGAGGTAGCATGTTGACATAAAAATCACCGGAATAAAATTTTTTTCCTTTAAATATTCATTTACAATGTTTATAGATTGAAAACGAGGATCCAAAAGTGCTCCTAACACCTAAGTAAAAAAATTAAAACAGAGAAATAATATATAAAAAATAATTTATGTATTTTAAAATACTACTGAAGATCAGTTATTGGAAATCTATGATAAAATTAGTAAGCATATTTTGTTTAAGGGATGCTATGGGAATCATATTCTTTTACAATTAAAGGATTTTTAATTTCACTACGAAATAATAAGGATAAATTTATAGTAACTCCTTTTTGGACGGATAAAAATTCAACAGTTTTTTTGAAGGTTTTAAGAAAATTTAAAAGTTCATGCACCAAGTCCCAATCGAAGTTAAATAATTTGAGATCCGGTTTCTCCACTCTATTTAATAGAATATTTATAGGATTTTTGTTATTGCCAGTCACACTTTCCAGCATTATTAAAATACTATGCCAACGTGTAGGCTATGTAGCCAGGGGTGGGGGGGGCAAGGGTACATCCCCCCTTCAGAAATTTATCCCTTTTTGTGAATATCATTTTAAGCTAATAAAAAATATCCCCCTTAGTCCTCCTTCCACTCCCTGATCCCCAAAAATGTATGACATCTTAAACAATAATTTGAAAGAAAGGATGTAAATATTGTTTATACATTTTTGGAAAAAAACATTTATATATAAAATATGTGAACCAAAAGTTTTTTAACGAAATGGAATATAAGCCAAAGATAAGTCTAAGACAAAAAATAATTATAATAACAGAGCCATTAAATTATTAAATAATATAATATATCAAATATAATTTTTATAAAGTGAGTAATTTTAATTTATTTTTCCTAATAAAAGTAAAATATAATTACAAAACTATTGATTAAATTAAATCATAAATTAAATAAAATTAAAGCACAATACAAAAAGTGGAATATTATATGTCGTAGATTTACAGTATATTTAATTTTATCATATGACAATCTACCAATATAAATAATTATATTATGTCTGTTAAAGTGGAATTTTACCTAGTATTTTGTAACCAATTCTATATAATAGAGGAATATCAACAATATGTCTATTTAATTTTTATAAATAAATTCCTTTTATTTGTTTGGAATAAATTATTACCATGCTTTTATATTAATGTATATAAAATTAATTTATTATATTTTATATAAACTAATAAAAATATATTTTATATTTGTTCCAGGCTTATTTTTTTTATTAAAATTAACCTCCTATCTTGTAAAAATATTTTATGACTATATATAGACTAAGGTAACTTGGCCGAAGACTGGACAAAAGCGGGTTGAACCGTCCAAAATGCCCCCCTTAGGAAGATCCTGGCTATGCCTAGTGTAGGCACATTTAATTTTAAGGTTTTATGTTTATTCTCATGATTTTTGATTTGCATTATCATATCAAACCCCAAACGATCTTCATAAAAAAGATCATTATCATCTAAATCGAATATATCCGAT